AGACTAATTAGTAAAGTTAGATTATGTGGGATTCAGGGTGAGCTTGCCAACTGGAAACAAAATTAGCTTAATGGCAAGAGACAGAGAATGATGGTGGAGGGTTGTTTTTCGGACTGGAGACATGTGACCAGCAGTGTTCTACAGGGTTTGGGGCTAGGTCCACTTTTGTTTATCATTTATATAAATGATTTGGATGAGAATATAGAAGGCATGGTTCATAAATTTGTGGATGAGACCAAAATTTGTGGTATAGTAGACAGTGAAGAATGTTATCTAAGATTACAAAGAGGTCTTGATCAATTGGATCAATGGGCTGAAGAGTGGCAGCTGGAGTTTAATTTGTTTAAATGCGAGGTATTGCGTTTTGGTAAAACAAACAAGGGCAGGATTTATACAGTTAAAAGTAGGGCCTTGGGTAGTATTGTAGAACAGAGAGACCTAAGGGTTCAGGTATATAATTCTTTGAAGTTCATGTCACATATAGACATGGTAGTTAGAAGTCATTTATATGCTTGCCTTCATTGCTCAGACCTCTGAGTATATGAGTTAGGACATTATGTTGAGGTTGTACAGGATGTTGGTGAGGTCTCTTCTGGAGTACTGTGTCCAGTTCTGGTTGCCCTATCATAGGAAGGATATTATTAAGCTGGAGAGGGTTCAGAAGAGATTTACCAGATGTTACCAGGAATGGAGAATTTGAGTTATTAGAAGAAACTGGATAGGCTAGGACTTCTTTTCACTGGAGTGTAGGAGGTTGAGGGGTGACCTTATAGAAGTTTATAAAATCATGAGGGGTATGGATAAGGTGAATGGGTGGTGTCTTTTCCCAAGGTTGGGGGATTTCAAAACTAGAGGTATATTTTTAAAGTGAGAGGAGAAAGACTTTAAAAAAAGACATGAGGGGCAATTCTTTTACACACAGAATGGTTCATGTATGGAATGAACATCCAGAAGAAGTGGTGAATGCGGGTACGGTTACAATGTTTAAAAGACAGGTAAGTACATGAATAAGAAATGTTTGGAGGAATATGAGTCAAGTGCAGCCAGGTGGGCCTAGTTTAGTTTGGGATTCTGGTCGGCATGGACTTGTTGGACTGAAGGATCTGTTTCCATGCTCTATTACTCTATGGCAGCAGGAGTAGGCCAGGTAATTACAGACCAGTTAGTTTGATGTCAGTGGTAGGGAAATTATAGGAAAAATTTCTGAAGGACAGGATTAATCAATGCTTGGGAAGGCAGGGTTAATCAGCATGGATTTGGTAGAGAGAGATCCTCTCTGACTAATTTATTTGAGTTTTTGAAAAGGTGACTGAATATATTGATGACAGTAGTGTAGTTGATGTGGTTTACACGGACTTCAGTAGGACCTTTGACAAGATCCCACATGGAAGGCTGGTCCAAAAGCTATGAGCCCAAGGCAAGTTTGCAAACTGAGTCTAAAATTGGCTCGCAAATATGAGACAGTGACAGTGGCCGTATTTGTAACTGGAAGCCTGTGACCAGCGGTGTACCACAGGGTTTGATGCCAGAGTCCTGACTGAATTTTCCCATCCAGCTTTAACTGAATTGCTGTCAGAGCTCCTGTCCCTTTAAGGGATGAGACCCTGCCGCCAAGGGTTGCTCACATCTCTTCAGTCCCAGCAGTACCACCGGAGGTGTCAGAAGTGCACCCAGCCCAGAGAAGCAACACGGATGCCATCTTCGGTCAAGATGAGTGAAATCAGGTTCTCTGGAGCTAGTCAGGCAGGGTCTGCCAGTGGTGGGATTGGTGAGGGAACTTTGACCTCCTGTGAGCCTGGTCCTCCTAGGAACCTGAACCTCCTGTTTACCTGGACCTTCCATGAACCTGGTCCTCCTGTGAGCCCAGACCCGCTGTGAACCTGGTCCCCCTGTGAACCTGGTCCTCCTGTGAGCTCGGACCTCCTATGAACCAGGTTCTCCTGTGAGCCCAGTCCTCTTATAAGCTACATGTGTATTATGGACTATTGTTGAAGGATGCTGACAATTTGATCAGAACAAAAAGTCATGATGTCAGTGCTGTGCCAGTGAGTCCCTCTGAGATTTTGCTGCATACTAATAGTGAGCATGAATGAGGAATGGCTCTGAGCGGAAAATCTGGTATCAGGTATCTAGTATGTAAACTAAAGGTAAAATTAAACTCCAGTATTGGCCTGTTGGGCTAAATGGCTTGTTACTGTGCTCCAGATTCTACAAGACCGCACAAGATACCGGGCATGGCCTGTAGCCTAACAAGAGGAGAGAAAGGAAGGAGAAACTTCAGCAGTCTCCATAGTTTTTTTTTGGTTTTAGTTCAAATTTGTTCAGACTTGTATGTACAGTCACTCATGCATAGACATTTGTACCGATGTACACCATCTTGATGCAGTGACCCACATAGAGGGAAACTGAACTGAAAACTTACAGCTCTAGCTCCTGACAACCCCAGCTGAGACATTTTGGATTGAAGCCAACAAATAATAACTACCAGGAGCTAATGAATGTTTATCACTGGGCAATGCTCCTTGGTGTCACATTAATTCTGACAGCTGTTACTGCAGTAAGTGTAAATGGGGTTGTCTGTCAAGAGGAAATCATGGTGCTTGCTATTTGACTGTTTTGATAAATGGATTGTATTAACTGAGGGGAAGGTTATAGACTACAACATGTCTGTTGCTTAAAAACATCTTTAAGACCTCTATGGTAGCTAATTTGGAAAATGCATAGTTCTTCATGTGGAAATGTGGTGAGGTACAGGTAATGTCATTTTGGACCGGTATCCAGAAGTCAAGTTGATACCTTGGGGTCATGGGTTCAAAATCCCACCAAAGCATATGGTGAAATCTGAGTTGAATAAAATCTGAAATTAAAAATATAAGTTAGCCTAATGGCAACTATGTGTCTTGTCATAATTCCCTTCAGGAAAGGAACTCTGCTATCTTTATCTGGCATATGATGTACACCAATGTGCTTGACACTTAACTGTCCTCTGTATTGGCCTAGAAGGTCAAGCAATTCAAGGGCAATTAGGGATGGGCAACAAATACTCATTGTACCAGCAACATGCACTTCCCATGTAAGAATGAAAAAGAGTAGACCAAGGAACGGTCCATACACAATAACTGCCTAAGTTAGATTCTCATTGACAATTGAACCGATGCATGTGAAGGGAGACTTCCCAGTGCTGCTCAGAATTTCCAAGACTGCTTTAACATGTTTAAAAATGCTGTCATGTAGGTAATGTAGTAGTCAATTTGCATGCAGCAAGTTCCCGCAAACAGCAATGTGATGGTGACCAAATTGTTTGATCTTTTTTAGTGATACTGGTTATGGGATAAATATTGGTCCAAGATACAAAGGAGGACACCATTGCTCTTCTTTCAAACAGTGCAACTAACTCAGCATTTCTTGTTCTTCAGAAAATATCCAGAAATGCTATTAAAGATTAACAGCGGAATAAATTGATATTTCCAATTGGTAAACCTAAAAACTTGTTATTAGAGGATTGCATTTGTCATAATTTTAATGTGTTGTGTAAGATGAGAAATTCTGCATGAATGACTGTAACTTTGTGTGACTGTACAGCAGAAAACCAACACTTCCCTCTGTCTTTCTCCTCCATATGAAGCCATTGTCCATTTCACTTCAGTCTCTTGGATGGTTGTCGGATGGGTTGCCACACCCCACCTTTGTCTGTACAAGCTCCAGATGGGGATGTTTGGATGGGATTGCAGAGGAAAATTGTTCTCACGAGAGCTGGAATGTTTAGTTTCACTTAGTTAGCTTGCACTGTGAGGTCATCCCTGAGCTTGCCGCCAGAGATGGACATGAGCAAGGCAAGCATAAAATTCCAGCCGGGCCAACTTCAACATTAATTACTAATACTCTTCTGAAATAAGCGTGGTAAAATTATGAGTTAGAAGCTGTTTTTACTAAGGTAATGCAACATGAGAATGAAAATATTGCATTTGTAGAACTCTTTTCAAGGCCTCATGGTGTTTTGAAGTGTTTTACATCCAGCAAAGTACTTTTAAAATGTAATTTCTGTATAATTGTAGAAAATACTGCAGGCATTTGGTGCACACTATGATCCCAAAGCAGCCATGATTTAATGACCAAATAACCTAATTTTTTGTGATGTTGGCTCCAAATACGAGGGGGAACTCCCTCATCTTTTCCTTCAAAATAGTGCCATGTAATTTTTTTCCTGTATGTCCATGAGATAGGACAGACAGGGCCCTCGATGTACAGTCTCATCCAAAAGTCACCATCTCCAACAGCAATAGTGCTCAGAGAGCCAGCCTAGATAATGAAATTGAGTGATATTCGGGAAGTAGAGGCATTCAGTAATTGAAAACAAAAGTAAAATGCTGTAGATGTGGGAAGTCTGAAAGATAACAGAAAATTCTTTGGAAATGCTCAACTGGTCGATGACACCTTGGGAGAGATTAAGAAAAACAAAGTAAGCAATGAAGGTCAATGACTTGCCCTCTCAGATAATTGTTAAAACACCCACTGGCCGCTAAAATCAGATGAAGAGTCATTCATTTGAAATGACAACTTTGTTGCTCTCAGCACAGGTGTTGCTGGGACTGCTGAGCAGGAGCAGGGACAGAAATTGCAGGCCCCTGGTGCTGTTCTTGACCCAGACTCCCCAGTCCCTGATCTGAACAAAGTACCTGTCCTGGGCTCTACTGCTGAGTATTGTCAACATTCTCTAATTTGAAATCATTAATATAATTAATATTCAAATCCCTGCCTGATCACTATTAACACCAACAGTATTCCTGAACAATGTCTGGGTATGTGGCTAACCGAGCTGTGCCAAGGGTGAGCAACAAGGCTCATTTGCCAGTGCTACCAAAATGCAGCCTGGTTTTCTGGAATGCCACAGCTGTGTATGTTCATTGCATAAGAAAGGAGAACACAAAAGCAAACACCAGTTTTGTGGAGAAATCAACAAAACAACCAAAATCAGGATTTTTTTTAATGCTTTCGTGACATGTTGGCATCACTGGCAAAGTCAGCATTCAATGTCCATCCCTTATTGCCCCTTGAGAAGGTGGTGATGAGGCATCTTTTTGAACCACTGCAGCCTGTGTGGTTAAAGTATACCCAGTGTACTGTTGGACTCGTTGTTCAGTCCCACACCAAAGTGAGCAGCACATCTGGTTTTTAATATTTATTAGACCTATCCTAATAAAAGTTTGATATAACTGGATGAGATGTTTGGCCAGTTCAGAAGGAAGTAAAGAGAGACAACCCTATTCCAAGGGTCTGAAGTCACATGTAGACCACAGCAGGTAAAGACAGTGGATTTTGTTACTTAAAGAACATCAATGGACCAGATGGGTTTTTACTATAATCTGGTAATTCCATGTGATAGTAGTTTTTTATTCCAAATTTATTGAATTTAAAACTCCAGCTGCTATGCTTCTTTTGATAGAGTAAATAAGGAGACAATGTTTCCAGTTGTTGGCGGCAGCGGTTAGTAATCAGAGAATACAAATTTAAGAAACATGAAAATCATGTTGATGACATAGCAGGCTGCACTGCACTTGTCTGACACAGCACACTAAGCAGAAAAAGAAAACTGATTTTTTCCAGGACAGACTCTTAACATTTTTCAATGCCCTTTACTGTACAAGGTCAGGACATTGTAAAGTATGAACAATTTGAAAAATAGACATCTTTCACATATTTACAGTCACTGTGTTTTCATTTTTTTTAACATAGAGCAAACTAGATTGCGTAGGGGACCTCCTTAACTATCCTGAAGACCTACTTAACACAGATCTGTGGTGGGCCCCACCTCTGCGATTTATCACAATTTCACTGTCTTTGGCAGGACCAGAGTGGAGATTTGGAGGAATTAAGAAAATTTGTTCGTAATGCAGCAAACTATAGTGATGTCATGATCACAAAAGCACTAGCTGAAAGAGTGGCAGAAGAAGAAAGTGGGGAATTGGATGTGTAATCAAAAAGGCGAGTTGCAGAGCAGGAGTAGGGTAGTTGAGTGAGCTCCCTTCAGAGTGGTATAATTCCATGATTGTCAGGGTCTGTGCATTCCTGCTACGCCACCACCACCTAGTGACATGAATATGCATTACAGTGGCGCACTTCATCATAACTGAACAATTACGCCATTACGCTGAAACAATCACTCTACCTTTCTCTACAAATGCTGCCTGGTCTGCTGAGTGTTTCTTGCATTTTCTGTTGTCACATCCAGCACTTGCAGCATTTTGATTTCTCCTGTTTTTTTAACCCAGAGCTCACCTCAACCATGTAATACATGCAACCAAAATGGACTAGTTGGACTGAAGGGTCTGCTTTTGTGCTGTATGACTATAACCAGGCAGCAGTTTATACCTTCTCTATGCCAGGAATGGTAGAGGGGAACCTGCATGGTATTAGAGTGAGAGTGGAATAAAGAACATAGAAGCTAAGTATGGCTCTCTCAGATTCTACTCAATTAGTCCATCCTGGCTCAAGCAGCAATAATGGACCCTAGATTAGCCTCAGGTTTCCCAGACTCAGGAGGGGAGTAAATTCGACCAATACTGTGGCTTCAGATCACCTCCTGTTGTAATGTGCTTGTGCCTGGAAGTCGGACTTAAACTGTATCATGGACACTGTCGACATACTTAATCTCCTCCTGAAGCCTTACTCTGTCATGCATTCTACACATCCACTTAATCTTTTCCCACAATCTGTCTGCATGACACTATAATGGACCTTGCCCATCCATTAAATCTCTTCCCACAGTAGCACGTACACCTCCCTGTATCATTCAAGGGAGAGATCTTAAAATGTGCTTTTAAGTTATGTACTTTTTACGAATGGATTGTGAAGGAGAGAAGATAAGCTGCCATTATTATAGATGTGTAAGCCATGGGTGCAAGCTCACTGGGGCCTACTTCCTGCTGAATCGAATACTAGCACCCATTTTCAGATAGCATGGGTCAGTCATGCAAGACTGAACATACCAGAAGATCTCATGTGCGTTCAGATATAGCACTGACAGAATCAGAGGTCTGGTGCACAAGAAAAGACCCTTGGGCCCACTGAGTCTGTGCTGATCAAGAACAAACACTTAACTATTTTAATCTAATTTTCCAGCACTTGGCTCATTGCCTTGGTGTTGCAAGTGCACATCTAAATACTTAAATATTATGAGGGTTTCTGCCTCTACTACCCTTATAGGCAATGAGTTCCAGATTCCCACCATCCTCTGGGTGAAAATTGTCTTCCTCACTTCCTCTCTCTAAACTACTTGCCCTTCCCTTAAATCTATGCCCCCTGTCACTGATCCCTCCATGAAGGGGAGAAGTTTCTTCCTGTTTACCCTGTCAGTGCCCTTCATTATTTTACACATCTCAATCATGACCCTCCTCATCCCCTCTGCTCCAAGGAAATCAACCCCAGTCTATCCAGAAGCTTTCACTGTTGACAAAACTATTCTCCTGATATCTAATGTTAAAGCAACAAACACCGCAGAGAATGAATTTCACCAGAAGTAACTGTGAAGGGATTTTGTCTGATTGATGCACTGAAGGTTCGCGTGATTAAATCAAGTATTGTTAATTTTGCTCAACAACTCATGAGGCCAGCCCAACCTGTTCCTTCCACAATCTAATCAATATTGTGTTCTCATTTGATAATCCAACCTTCACCCTAAGTCTCTAATGTCCTCTCAGAGTCGCAACCAGTGTCTATGTCATCATCCAGCACCCCTACGTAGAAGTTTCTCATGCCATTGTCCCCGTCATTGGCCCTGTTCATTGTTTGGGCTGCTGCTCTTTGTGCCCTGGTGTTTGTGTAGTAGACCTTACTCTGGTTCTTGAGGATGGGCAAGATGCAAAGATGCTCCTGGAGAAGTGATCTGAGCTTAGCAAATGTTGGTCGCTGCTCTGGGTTCAGGAACCAGCAGCTGAACATGATGTGGTACCTGGGAAGAAAAGACCATAATCAGCAAAGAGGGTGCTCATTGTGAACAACACCCTGATGTCTGTAGTGCCTATCAAACTTCCATCACGCAAACCAGCCTCCCATCCATGGACTTTATCTATATTTCCCACTGCCTCAAGCAAACAACCAACATAATCAAACATCCCTCCCACCCCACTTATACTCTCTTCCAGCTGGCAGAATATATAAAAGTTTGGATACATGCACAAAGGGAAGAAGACGGGCAATTAGGGATGGGCAATAAATGCTGGCCTATCCAGTGATGCCCTCACATACTGTGAATGAATAATAAAAAAAGAACAGATTCAAGAACAGCTTCTTCCCTGCTGTTATCAGACTTTTGAGTGGACCCCTTTAATGTTAATGTTGATCTCTCTCTGCACCTTTTCAACAGTTGTAACATTATATCTTGCACTTCATTCTGTTACCCTGATGCATTTGTATAATACGATCTGCCTGTGAAGCATGTAAGACAACACTTTTCACTGTACCTCAGTACACGTCACAATAATAAATCAAATCAAATCAAATTGGCAGCTAGTGAATTTTTTAGGTTCATGGTGATGTTAGGAAGCACTTCTTCATTCTTAAGGGCATGTAAACCTGAATATTTTTCCTTTATCTTTTAATGGGATGTGGCCATCAATGGCAATTGTTACCCATCCATTTTTTTTATTGCAAAAATATAAATGTATTCATAAAATAATTATCAAAGATTCCTAAAACTGTTCCGTACAGTCTTTGCAGAAAAACAAAAACGAACAACACACTGGGATTTGACATTCCTCAGAGCTTCCCTGCAGTTGCAAAACAAGGGCACTTTCTACTCATGCATTCATTTTGAGGCAATGAGGGGATTTGACAACTTAACGGACACTCGTTGTGCTTTGTCAGAATGACCTTAGACGGTGTGGCCATAAGCACGTATTTCAGGACCTTGGAATGTGCCAATCTGCAACACTCAGTCAAGATTGACTGTTTATACCGGAAGACCAACAAGCTTCGGTCAGACTAAGCAGCATCATGCAGTAAGTTGACGGTCCTCCAGGTGCAGTTGATGCTTGTCTCAGTGTGCATCCCAGGGAACAGCCTGTACAATCTAGCATCCTGCATTACAGAGCTGCTCAGGACTCACCTCAACAAATGTTACTGCAAATCTTTGCCAATCGTCTTTGCAAAGAGAAGGAGATAAGTGACCGTCTTTTGCCCCATGCAGCCGCTTCACGGGCAGCATGAGGTGGCGGAGAGAGTCTGGGTGTACATGAAAGATCTGATGGGTGGTGCCCTTCTCAATCAAGCTACATCTTGGTGCTTTTTGGAAAGTTCGTTGGGGCAGTCTGTTAAATGACTTTGATAGTCTGCTCAGGGAAACTCCAGACAGGATCCACCCTCTCTTTTTTTCCCTAGAGTCTCAAGGACTCTATGAACTGACCACTGCCTGATGGACTACGTGTTTCCTTTGCAAATTTTTCCACAAAGGACAGGTAATATGGAATGGTCCAACTACTTGGAGTATTCTGCAGCAACGAGGCCAGATGCATTCTCTGTAACACTGGGGACAGTTAGAACATCAGTATGCAGTGATACTTGGTTTTTGCATACTGAGGGTCTACGTACAGCTTGAAGCAAACACACATAAAGGTGGCCACCAGGGTGAGGGTGGTATTGGGTACATCTTTCCTGCCCTTATCCAGAGCTTAGAAATGGTCCATCTTTGACCACCAGATGATGTGGAAGAAGGCTCAGGTGACTGCAGTGGTGCAGGCTTGGAGAATGGGTCAGAACTGTGCTAGATAAAGCAACACCAAGAGTACCTCACACCTGATGACCAGGTTTTTACTCACAATGGACAGGGAACAGTGCTCCCATAAGCCCAGTTTCTGCCTCACCTTGGCAATATGCTTCTCCCAAGTTTTGGCGCACTCCCCAGCCCCTCTGAACCATGTTCCCAGCACCTGACAGTGAAGGGGTAAAGGATCAATCAGCTCAGTTTCCAAAGATCATGGCCTCGGTCTTGCCTCAATTTACCTTGCTCCTGAGGCCGGTTTGAACTGGTTCCTGATCCTCATGAGTCTGCACACTGCCAGGAGATCTGAGCAGAAAATGGCAATGTCGTCCATGTACAGGATCTGAATGGTTTGCACTGCCATTTCAGAGGATGGGTAAGAGTCAACCACATTACTGTGGATCTAGAGTCACATTAGGCAAGACTTGGTAAGGTTAGCAGATCTACACCCTGAAAGGACATTAGTGAACCAGATGGATTATTATGACAATCAATCATAATTTCAAACTCACCATCAAGGAGACTAAACTTCAATTCCAGATTTTATTAATAGATATTAAATTCCACCAGCTGCCAAGGTTGGATTTGAATACATGTCCTCAGAACCTTAACATGGGTCTCTAAATTACTCATTCACTACCATGATGCCACTGTCTCCCAAAAGATTCACTCAGAATTAAGCACTTGATGCTGGAGGTCAATTGAAAATTTCAAAACTCAGGTGGATAGCTCATTATCGAGTCAGGTTGTTGGGCAATGCAACTAAGCTGGGTAAACGGATTTGAGATTCAATGGTCAAACAGGCTTGAGGGACTGAATGGCCTCCTCGTGTCCCAATATACATGACCTATATATAACAACTTCCCACAAACAGTCATCAGATGGATCACTGGTAAATCTGACTACCCATGGTGTTAGTTGAGGGCAGGCCAAAATACCACTCTTCAAGATACCACTAGGCCATTGCATCTTATAGGGGGAGGCGATGGCCTAGTGGTATTATCACCAGACTATTAATCCAGTGGTCCCCATAATGTTTTGAGGATCCAGGTTCAGATTCCATTGTGGCAGACAGTGGAATTCGAATTAATTTAAAAATCTGGAATTAAGAGTCTACTGATGACCATGAAACCACTGCCAATTGTTGGAAAATTCATCTAGTTCACTAATGTGGAAATCTGCCATCCTTACCTGGTCTGGCCTATGTGTGACTCCAGGCCTATAGTAATGTGGTTGACCCTGAACTGCCCTCTGAGCAATTAGGGATTGGCAATAAGTGCTGGTCTAGCCAGCAACGCCATCATCCCATGAATGAATAAAACAAAACCACGAACTTGTAACATCTGCCTCAAAGGATTAACGTCTCATCAGAAGAAATTTATCTCCGCAAACCCTCACTATTCCACTCAAACGTCAGCCTAGATTGTGTGGACAAGGCTTAGCATGAGGTTTGAGATGTCTCAGGGAGAAAGCTAGCATACATTTTGAGACTGGCTGTACTTGAATCCCACTGTCTCGTCAGTTGGTACCTCTAACCTCTGAATGTATGAAGTTTAGCAGTTTTAACCCTCCTTCCAGGACCTTAGCACATAACTTAAGGCTTATTCTCCAGTGCAATACTGAGAGCATTTTGGAGATGTTGTCTTTTGGAAGAATCATGAAACCCAATTCTACTTATTTACTGTATCAAATATTGAAGGCTGTCCCATTGATCATCACTGCTCTAAGGTGAAAAATCACATTCCCTAGTCTCTTAGTGGAACTGAACTCCCTCATCCCCAGTATTATGCTTCGATACTGTTCCGATTCAGAAATAGAATGAGGAAGGGAAGATCCTGGCACTCACAGTTTGTCAAGACAATCAGGCGGTTGCTTCAGTCGGTTCCCTTGATGTAGATAGTCATAAATCTCATGGTTTTGTATGCCAGGATAAGGTGTCTTCCCCCGAGTCACAATCTCCCACATTGTCACTCCAAAGGACCACTGTGAACAAGAAGGAGGTGTAGGTTCAGTGCCATTGCAGTTGGTCATTGCAGTGACCTCCAGGCTTGGCCACTCTAACATGCTTCTAGCCATCTTCCCATCTGTAAACCACCCTCTGTAAATTTTGACTCATCTGTATCTCTGCTGACCCCATATTCCAACTCACAATAAGTCCCACTCACCCATCACTCAAACATACGTACGAACAAGGAACAAAAATAGGTCACACAGCCCTTCAAGATGGCTCTGGCATTTAATAAAATCATAGAATCCCTACAGTGTGGAAGCAGGCCATTCAGTCCATTGAGTCCACAACCAACCCTCCAAGCAGTTTAGCAGCATGACTTCAGCTCCACAGTGCCACAAGGCAAGAACAGGACCAGAACCAATGCTCACTTCCCTTCCAACCCTGAAAACATCTGGAGTGACTCCTGGTCTCTATTCTCTCATGCCTTCAGCTGCAAAGTACAAAAACATGGCATACCACATCACTTTTTGTTGTGTAGATCGACTCTGCCATGCTCTCAACGGCCATCCATTTCACGGGCATCTTTGAGACTGCCCTCTGCCGATAGTAATTACTGCTGTAGATCTTTTTAGCCAACCCAAAATCAGCGACACACACCCGCATACTGTCACACAACCTGTGCGGGAGGAATTAGCGTTAGAGAAAGGAGTCTATTAATGTAGTCAGAGTGCTTCCAACTCTCACCTCCAATGCTACCCCAGCCTTCTGTCCTTCAGAAGTTGTCTAGTGTTTCAGTACTGAAACTCCTGAGCATAATCCTAGCAATGACAACCCACCCTCACTCAGTACTGAACAAACAGTCTCACATGGGATGGATATAGAAAAGTTAGCATGAGTGAATAGAAATCATCTCAGACTGAGACAGTGTAGGAAGCTGTTCTCCAAGGTTGCTATTTGACAGATTTGAAAGAACATTATGCTATATCTAACTCTATGCTGTATCCTGGCCTGCGAGTGTTAGATGGGGAGACTGTAAATGGAATTTTACTCTATTTAGTCACGTGATGTACCTCTTCCGGGAGCGTTTGATGGGGACAGTGCAGAGGCAGCTTCACTCTGTATCTAACCCTGTACTGTGACTGTCCTAAGAGTGTTCAATGGCAACAGTATAGAGGGAGTTTAACTCTGTATCTAACACTGTGCTGTAACTGTCCTGGAGTGTTTGATGGGGACAGTGCAGAGGGATGTTTACCCTGTATCTAACCCCGTGCTGTCTCTGTCCTGGGGAGTGTTTGATGGGGATAGTGTAGAGAGAGCTTTACACTGTATCCTGCTTTACCATGTCCAGTGCTCACCTCACATCTATACATGGTCACTTTACAAAGGGATTCACTGGTTAGCAATCAGAAGCACGAAAACTTTTTGTATTTTCTAATCAACCTTTTCAGATATATGACAGCCCTCTGGAATAGGTGAGATTTGAACCTAAGCCTCCAGGCCACTACCACTGCACCACAAGAACCTTTTTTTAATTCCATTTGTGGGATGTGGGCGTCGCTGGCTGGCCAGCATTTCTTGCCCATCCCAAGTTGCCCCTTGAGAAGGTGGTGGTGAGCGGCCTTCTTGAACCGCTGCAGTTCTCCTGCTGTGGGTTGACCCACAATGCTATTAGGGAGGGAATTCCAGGATTTTGGCCTATCCCTTGTTTTTTATTTAATCCCATCCCTGACCCATTTCAGGTGCTAAGGCCATTTTAGTGCTACTGTCAGTGCTTTTATTGTGACCAGCTAAATCATCACTGAGTCCAGGAATCAAATGAAAGGTCATAATGTTGTGTATGGCTTGGTTCCACTCTGGACATTAAACAGCCAAATGGTGGTGGGTTATTAAAAATGGAGCTAAATGGATCGTTGGAAAAGCTAATCACAAACCCTGAATGATAAATCCAAGCCACCCAGGGGCTGAACACAACTCACATGCAATTCCGAGCTGCCAGGTCTCTGTGTAGAAAACCTTGGTTACTCAAATACTCCATCCCTGAGGCAATGTCAATCATGAACTTCAGGATGATCTGCAGAGGTATGTACTAGGAAAAGAAAGAGACATCACCTTAATATCAAACACGTCAAACCGTTTCCAATATTTGGTCATGATTTCAGCAATGTGCTTGTGCCATCTCGCCTTTGAATTAGAATACTTGATGATACAGGTGCCAACCTGGAAACCTGAGCACTGAATCTAGGCCAACATTCCCAGTGCAGTACTGAGGGAGTGTTTGAGGTTCTGTCCTTCAGTTGAAATTTTAAGCCAAGCTCCTTTCTGACTCCTTAGGTGAACCAAAAAGGTGACATTGCATTTGAAGAACTGCTAAGGAGTTTTGAATGGTATCCTGGTCAATGTTTAACCTTCAGCCTGTTATCTGTGGGACCTTGCTACCTGCAAATTGGCCACTGTGTTTCCCACAGAACAAAATGGTACCTAAACTTCAAAGTAAATGGCTACAAAGCTCTACGAGTTACCTGAGATAGTGTAAGGTACTATATAAATCACAAATTAATTTCTCTTTGACTGTATAGAGATTCATTAATTCTATTCAGCCTCTGCACACATCCCTACATATGGACCAATAACCCATGTTTAAAAATTCATTCATAGGATGTGAGCATCGCTGACTGGGCCCAGCATTTATTGCCCATCCCTAGTTGCCCATGAGAGGGTAATAGTGAGCTGCCTTCTTGAACTACTGCAGTCCATTTGCAGTAGCTAGACTCACAATACCATTAATCCAAGATTTTTACCCAACAACTGGTGTGTGGTGTTGACATAGTTTTCTAAAGGAGTCATGCAATCTCTGCATATCCCTATCCCTAAGAGATACAGCTAAAACATTTGCAACAGGATGATCCATCTTAGCCTCCTTCAGAGGTCCCCAGCATCACAGTTGCTAAGTCTTCAGCCAACTTGATTCACTCCATGTGACACCAAGAAATGGGTGAAGGCACGGGTTGCCGGAAAGATTATGAAACCTGACTATATTCTGGCAATAACACTGTGCTCCAGAACTTGCTGCACCCCTAGCAAAGCTACAACATTGGCATCTAGCTGACAATGTGGAAAATTGCCCAGGTATATCCTGTACATAAAAAGCAGGGCAAATCCAAAATAAAATTACCATCCTATCAATCTATTCTTGATCATCAATAAAGTGATGGAAGGTGTCATCAACAGTTCTGCCAAGCAACATTTGCTTAGCAATAAACTGCTCACTGATGATCAGTTTGAGGTTTGCTAGGGTCACTAACCTTCTGATCTTGTTACAGCCTTGGTTCAAACATGGAAAAAATAGCTGAATTTCAGAGGTGAGCTGAGAGTGACTGCACTTGACATCAAGGCCTCATTTGTCCTCCAGGAACACAAGCAAAACTAAAGCCGTTAGGAATTGGGAGTTGGGGGGTTGGTTTGCATCATAAATAGCACAAAAGAAGATGGTTGTGGTTGTTGGATGTCAGTCATCTCTGTTCCAGGTCATCTCTGCAGGTGTTCCCCAGGCTAAAACAATGCAAAACCATCTTCAGCTGCTCCATCAATGACATTCCCTCCATCATAAGTTCAGAAGTGGGGATGTTCGCTGATGACTGCACAGTGTTTAGTATCATTCAAAGCTCCTCAGATACTGAAACAGCTCATGTCCAAATGCAGCAAGACCTGGCTGATATCCATATTTTGGCTGACAAGAGGCAAAGTGACCTTCGTACCACGTAAGTGCCAGGCTACAAAGGCAGCTCAGAAGCCAGGAATTCTGCAGGAAGTGACTCAGTAATTTGTTTCATAACAGTTCCTTAAGGAGGCACCATAGTACATTTTACATGGTTAGAAGTGCGATACAAACACAAGTTGTTGTTGTTGGAGACTGGGCAGCTTTCCAGAGGAAAAGCGAATAGGTGCGATAGTTCTGTTGCAACAGAAGTACAGCAGCAGGATCACCTAGCAATATTCAGAGACAGTAAGAACTGCCGATGCTGGAGTTAGAGATAACACAGTGTGGAGCTGGAGGAATACAGCAGGCCAGGCAGCATCAGAGGAGCAGGAAAGCTGACGTTTCAGGTCGGGACACGTCAGCTTTCCTGCTCCTCTGATGCCACCTGGCCTGCTGTGTTCCTCCAGCTCCACACTGTGCTTTTACCTAGCAATATTGCCTTGTCTTCTTTGTGATCAAGAAAAACTGAGGGAGCAGTGGTTCATTCACATCCCACAGTGTCCAAGGCCTGAACAAGGCCTGGAAAGAAATGGAGCAATGAGCCACAGGTAACGAAATGTGGGGAGCTGACTACCAGTAGTCCTTGCGGGCTGTTGCTGTGAGTTCCAATGAATTAATATGAATTAGATTCAGTTACCACGGGTTTTTCTCTGTGCCTTGAGTTGAGGAGAAAGTTGCGGAGGTCTCCATGAGGCATGAAAGGAAGGATGACCATCGGCATTGGTACTTGTTCTGCAGAGCAAACCTCAAATGATACTCCTACGAAAAGATACAAAAGAAATTATCAATGTCAGCCTACAACTACTGACCATTCCCAGCAGGAATGGAGAAAAATTTATGTGATTTGTGCTTTATGGATCGAGGTATACAGAAAGTGAGGAAGTTATGCTGAACCTTTATAAATCACCAGTTTGGCCTCAGCTTGAATATTGTGTCCAACTCATGGCATTACACTTTAGGAAAAATGTTAAAGTCCAAGTAATTGAGGCTGTGGGGTCACCCTGCAGAGATTTATAAAATCATGAGGGGTATAGACAAGGTGAATGGCAGCTGTCTTTTCCCTAGGGTGGGGATTTCAAGACTAGGGGGCATATTCTTAAGGTGAGAGGAAAAAGATTTTAAAAAGACACGAGGGACAATTTTTTTACACAGAGAACGGTTCGTGTGTGGAATGAACTTCCAGAGGAAGTGGTGGATGTGGGTACAGTTGCAATGTTCAAAAGTAATTTGGATAAGTACATGAATAGGAAAGATTTGGAGGGATATAGGTCAAGCACAGGCAGGTGGGACGAGATTAGTTTGGGATTATGGTCGGTATGGACTGGTTGGATCAAAGGGTCTGTTTCTGTGCTGTATGACTCTATGACTCTTAGTGCTCAGAAGAAATTTATGCAATGGTGAATAGCATCCAAGACCTCAAATACATGTAGAGACACAAGCAGAGTTATTACGTATATAAGTACATGTGAATTAGGAGCAGGAGTTGGCCACTTGGCCCCTCAAGCCTGCTTCACCATTCAGTAAGATTGTGTTGATCTGATTCCCCCACATTTCTGCCTACCCTCATAATCTTTAACTCGCTCACTTATCAAGAATCTATCTTCCTCTGCCTTAAAAATGTTTCCTTGAAGGTGTGGCAGGGAGACAGGTTAGTGAAGAAGGCGTTTGGTAAGCTTGTTTTTATTGGTCAGTGCATTGAGTATAGGAGTTGGAGTGTCATGATGCGGCTGTACAGGATATTGGTTAGACGTCTTTTGGAATACTGTGTTCAATTCTGGTCTCCATGCTATAAGAAAGATATTATTAAACTTGAAAGGGTGCAAAAATGATTTGCAAGGATGTTGCTGGGATTGGAAGATGTGAGCTATAGGGAGAAGCTGAATAGTCTGGGGCTATTCCCTGGAGTATTGGAGGCTGAGGGGTGACCTTATAGAGGTTTATAAAATCATGAGGGACATGGATAGGGTGAATAGCCAAGGTCATTTTCCCAGAATAGGGGAGTACTAAACCAGAGGGCATAGGTTTAAGCTAAGAGGAGAAAGATTTAAAAGGGACGTAAGGGGCAACTTTTTCACACAGAATTCACAAATGAATTCTGTTTTGCTTAACATCGAGTAGTTTGAGCAGTTGTATTGCATCTGAGACACTTTACATTTGCCTTTAAAATAAGAAACAATTAGGCTCTAGTCTACCTTAAAATATTTTGAGGGGGTCTGACCTGGTTTATAACATAACGCATTAACATCTTTCCTTATATAAGGTGACTAGTACTCTACACAGTACTCCAGATGTGGTCTCACCAGCCCTGTGTAACTGAAGCAAGGCCTCCCAAGTTTAAGTGGAGATTTAATCAGGAACAATTTTGATGAGGGTGAACAGAGACAAATTGTCCCATTGGCAGGGGAATTAAGAATCTAATGACACAGATTTAAGGCACTCAGCAAAAGATGAAGATCAAGTTCAAGATGAAGAGAATACTTTATGTGCAGCAAATTTTGATTTGTAATTCCACGGGCTGAAAGGATGGTGAAGGCGGATTCAAGAATTTTCAAAAGGGCACTGGATAGATCTTAATGGGAAAATGTTGCAAGGCTATTAGAAGAAGCAGAGAAGTAGGACTAATATTCAACTCTTTCATAGATCTGGTAAAGATACGATGGGCCAAATGGCCTCCATTTGTGCTGTATAGATTCCGTGATTCTAAAATCACAAAACTCTTTTTCTTTCTCATTAATTCTATGAAGATTCTGAACTCTGTAAAGCCTAATTTAGACTTGAAGTTTACTCCCACAGAATCAGACAGTACAGAGGAGGCCCTTCGGCCCATCAAGTCTGTACTGCCAAAACTGTACCAGATATACACTGGTCGCACTTTCCACCACTAGGCACGTAGCTTTGAATATTATGACATTCAATTGCTCATGCAAGTGTTTTTTAAAGGTTGTGAGGTTTGCTGCCTCGACTGCCTTCCCAGGCAGTGTATTCCAGATACCCCCATGCTCTGGATGAAAAACGTTTCCTCAAATCCCCTCTAAACCTCCTGCCTTCAACCTTAAAATTGTGTCCTCTGATACTGACATTTCAACTAAGGGGAACAGCTGCTTTCTATCCCCCTTGTCCATGCCCCTTATCTTATATACCACATCCTGGGGACTCTTTTCCAGTTAATAGACAAGGGAAAACTAGTCATTTGATCCTATCTCACCTCTAACCACCAACGCCCACCCCCACACACCAATCATCAATTACAACTTGTTACAAATACTCTGTCCTACCTTTAATGTAAGGTAGTCATGGAGAAAATTATTCTGCACATGCAGGAGACCAAAATTAGAACTAAATGGCAGCACCTCCCAAATTTGCAGCTACGGAAGTTGGACAATAGCATCATTTTCAAACAACCGTCATCACCTCCAAACTCCCCTCCAATCCCAACGCACATATTAGCCTGACTTGGGCATGTCCTCCATCATTACCAGGTCAAAATCCTTGAACTCCCTACCTAACAGCATCATTTTTCACCCAAAGATTGCTGCAGTGGTGAAGATGCATCTTTTCAATTAGTGATAAGCAATAAAATTCCAGCCTTGTTAGAGCCACGATTTTGTCTTAGAAGACCTTTATGTTTGATTTCTACACAGTCATTCTAACAGCTAGAGAGGCAAAGGAAGTATCTCACCTGGTCAAAACAACTCTATTCAAAGTATGGCCTTTGGATGATCTCTGGATTGCCTCCTCTAACTGTCTCTGCCTGATACAAGTGGCCCTCAGCCTCAATTCAGGCCCTTCCTGGCTGTTGCCTGCACTGAGATTCATTGCAGACCTCCTTCCTCTCCTTGATCACCAGCAAAATAAGGCAGAGTAGTATTAGGAAGCAGGATTGCCTTAGCTTCCCAAATGAAAACACATGCAATTGGCAAACTCCATCCTTCGTACCTATAAGTCTGAGGACGTTTGGGTGTTCGAAGCCTTGCATCAATTCTGCTTCCCTTAGGAAGGACTCCAGCTCTGGCTTTGAATCGAGTCCCTCTGAAAGACAAATGATAAGCTTTTGAAACGGTGTAATCCCATGAAATATGCATCAGAATGGAATATTAATTGTGGTCCTAACTCATTTTCAGGCCAGATTGGTCATTTCAAAAGTTATGCCTGTGGTAAAACAGAGTTCCAGATATCTCTTCATTGTGGATAGAGTTTGTCGACTTCTCAGTCACATAGCTCATTCCATACTGTTGTAAACACTGCCTATACAGCTTATACCTGGTTAATCTGGTACTGTCTGGTCCAGCAATCTCAGTGGTCCAGTACCCTCACTACTTCTGAAGGTTTTTTTTTATTTCAAAGGTATACCTTTATCATAATTTTTCATAAATTCAGTTCAGTTCTATATAGTAGCATAACAAGAAAACCAACAAACATTGGAGTTTAACTCTATCCCAACCAAACCAAAGACATCTCTTACACATTTAAGACTATATTTACATACATTTGAGGTACTGCAAGGGTCTGATAACTGAATGGATCCCCAGCAACATTCGGTCGAGGTCAATTCCTTGCTCTGGAAGACCAACGGGTTTCAGGCAGACCAAAAAGTGCTTTCACTGGGTTGATCGTCATCCAGGCACAGTTGATATTTGTGCCGGGGAATAGACTCTAGAGCACAGAGTCCTGCATCATGGAGCTTCTCGGGATGAACCTCGACAAAAACCCACACTGCTTCTGAAGGTTTTCTGAAGAACCCGCAGTTCTCTGTGCCCTACTCTCCCAAAAGCTGCACCAGTATGAACCTTTCAATAAAGATGTTTGGGTCAGATTCCAAGTGATCTTTGATGGTATAGTGAGCATTGGCAGTGTACCTATCCCTGGGATCGAGAGTACAAGTTCAAGTCCCACTTGCTCTGGAGGTTTTGTCACAACATGTGATCTTTACCTTTTACAAGTAGCAGCATCGCTGGTCCATGCAAAGTTATCGTTTGGGTCATGAGGTCATTGTGTCTGCACATGCCCAGTTCGCACTCACATAAAGCACAGTGAGCAGTTTAAAGTCTGCAACACTGAAAACGCAGCTGGAATTGTGCTGACAGATAAAGAGATCATGTATATTCTTGAAAATAATTGTTTCACATCTCATTTTATATTGCACAGCAATTTGTAAACAGCAAATTGATAAAAAAAACTCTTGTGCAGACCCTGACACATGATCTCCCATGGTCCTACAAATTCTGACATCCAACTCTGAGGCTGGTGGATTACAGAGGTACAACCTGTATCTTTGTTTCAATTGAATATCTTATGATGCATCTCTGGAGCAAGTGGGACTTATACCTAGGCCTTCTAGCCCAGAGATAGGTATACCATCACTGCCACCAAGAGCCCCAAGTTCCTCAGAATATATATTTTCCTAATCAATATGTTCTTTTTAATATCAACGACAGATCTCTGTGGCCAACAGCATTCCACAGTTGGAGTTGAACCCAGACCTTCTGGGCCATTGCACTACAGGATATTTTCAAATCAATCTGTTCAGAGATGTTATTACATACCCCTGGAGCAGACGGGACTTGAACCCAGGTCTCCTGGCTCAAAGGTAGGGACAATACCACTGCACCACAAGATCCCTCTGTCCTTCCTAGTTACTTTCCTGATCAACCTGTTTAGAGATGCTCTTACACACCTCTGGAGCAGAAGGGCTTGAAACCCTGTTCTTCTGGTCCAGAGGTAGAGATACTACCAGTGCACTACAACAGCCCTATATCCGCGCTGCCTTGTTGTTCAGACAATTGTTGTTTTCTCTTAACTTTGAATAAGGTGGTTAACATAACAGTTAACACCCGACTTGTGTATGTCAATCCCCTGTCTGGTGTCCTGTTTTAATGGCTTCTTTTAAAGCTCAGAGATTCAATGAATAAACAACCTCTTTGTGTAGACGTGAGCCTGATTATTCCATACCTTTGCTATTCTGCAGGTAAGTTGGCTTCTAGAGCGAAACGATCTCATGTATCGTTTAATTAATGGTTTTGTCACCTTGTGAGTTTATCCACAGCTGGCAGCTCATAGCTGTGTGCCATTGAACTTTGCTCTATTTTATTATGTCACTATTTTATTATGAACCCATTTAGTTAGAAACTTAACCACACGATTAACTAGACATTAAGAGTTTTATGAGGATTGTTACCAGGAATTTAGGAAAAGACCATTTGGAAAATGGAGCTACGCAATGCGTTGATGAGCCATGTAGCAACATAGAACTGTACAGCACAGGAACGGGCCCTTCGGCCCACGATGCTGTGCCGAACATGACGCCAAATTAAACTAGTCCCTTCTGCCTGCCCTTAGTCCATTTATTTCCATTCCTTGCATATTCATGTGCTTATCTAAAAGCCCCTTAAATGCCCCTATCGTATCTGCCTCCACCCCCACCCCTGGCAGCGTGTTTCAGACTCCTACTGCTCTCTGTGTAAAAAAACTTGCCTCTCACATCTATTTTTGAACTTTCCCTTGTCACCTTAAATACATGACCCCTAGTATTAGACATTTCAACTCTGGGAAAAGATTCTGACCATCAACCCTACCTATGCATCTCATGATTTTATAGACTTCTATCAAGTCTCCCTTCAGCTTCCACCGTTCCAGAGAAAACAACCCGAGTTTTTCTAGCCTCTCCTTATAAATAAAACCCTCTAATCCAGGCACTGTCTAATCCTCTTCTGCACCCTCTCCAAAGCCTCCACATCCTTCCTGTAATGTGGCAACCAGAATTGAATGCAATACTCTAAGCGTGGCCTAACCATAGACTTATAAAGCTGCAACATGACATCCTGACTCTTGTACTCAATTCCCTGATGAATAAAGGCAAGCATGTTATACGCCTTCTTTACCACCCTATCTACTTGTGTGGCCACTTTCACATCTTCAATGTTCTTCCACTATATATATAGTGGCAGTGTCCCTGCCTCTGAGCCAGAAGGCCTTGATTTATATCCTGAGATAGCAAGAACTGCAGATGCTGGAGTCAGAGATAATGAAGTGTGGAGCTGGAGGAACACAGCAGGCCAGGCAGCATCAGAGGAACAGGAATGCTGATGTTTCAGGTCGGGAAGATGGGTCGATTCATATCCTATCAGTTTCAGGGGTATGTCATAACATAACTGAGCAGGTTGATGGAAAATATCTCAAACTCATTTTCAAATCAAACAGAATGCTTTTGTTACATCCATGACAACACAACAACACAAGAGAACTGGCAGCATTGAAATGAGGCGATGTTTTGTTTTAGAACAATATGCTATGAGAAAAAACATCCGATCGAAGCCAATACATTTAAATGTTCAATACATTTCATGTGGTACTATTAAATCTTCAGATCAAATTCCTCCCTTCATCAAATTCCTCCCCGTTCACTCCTGCCATACAGAATCCCAATTGGGCCAATTCCTTCCCATTCGCTGCTACTGTCTAGAATCCAAGCCACTTCTTGTTCACTCATATTCCATAGATTCCAATAGATCAAAACAGTTCTGATCCACTTTCACATATAAAATCCCAAACAGATCAAATGTCCCATCATTCAAACACCTTAATACCAAATACCTTTTCACCAGTTGTTATCTTAATCCACTACATCATGTCTTAAATTCTTCAAGATCTGACTTACGTTTCATTGTCTTCACAGCAACGTTCTGATTGACGCCAGTGGATTGCATGAGTATTCCCTGGTACACTGAGCCAAATTCACCTAAACACCAAGGATAAGAGACAGAGACGTCAACCCACTAATACTGTTCCAGTAGCCATGAAGATCATCGTCCTCTGAATTCACTGGGAAACTTTGTTGGCCGTTGTTGATCACTCTGCCTGGTATGGTACTGAGCCCTGCACATCTGGATGGCCTGTACCGAGTTAGCCAATCTCAGGTAAGACTGAGCTTGAGGGCGAGTGATCATTTGGAGTGTTCCTACGTTAATAGGGAGAAGAAAGACAAACATTTGGCAGTGGTGAAGGGGTGGGAGTGGGGACGAAACCAGAGTTCCTGCACCTGATCTTTTCCCAGTGATTTCAGGTCGTGACAGAATCAAGTTTGGCTGTTGTGATGTCCCCACGATGAATGGAGGCTCAGACACAGAGGTCCTGGAAGGATTCAAGTGCCCACTGAGCTGTAGCATGGCAAGACGATGCCATCAGGAAAAGATGGGAGGAAATGAAACCATACATTGAATTAAGGAGAAACACAAAGGTGAGGGCCGTGAAGCAAAAGATCAGAAGCAAAAGATCAGAAGCAAAGGTCTAATTATAAGAGCCCTTGCCTTTTTGGAGATGTACAGCAAAGGTTCCTCAGTTTGTGGACCATCATCACATATGTGCTGCTTATCACAGTAGCAATCTTTGTAATCTGAACATAGGAATTGCACGTATTGCCTTAGGTGTCAGCTACGGACAGAGTGGGTAGCATCTTTTACTTCTAGGTTGGAAATGCTGTGGTTGACAGAGAGACGTGGTGTGTTGTTCATGCCCATGGACTAGTAATCCATTTGGGAAATGGGTTCAAATCTCACTGTGGTAGCTGGTGGAATTTGAATTCAATTCCTGGAATCTTATATGGGAGAGAAATCTGCCGTCCTTACCCAGCCCGGCCTACACGTGACTCCAGACCCACAGCGAATGTGCTTGACTCTTAACAGCCCTCTGAAATGGGCTAACCACTTAGTCTAAAGGCAGTTAGGGATGGGCAATAAATGCCAGCCATGCCCATATCTCATGAAAGAATACATTTTAAAAATGTCACACTTCAGAGACATGAGTACATAATCCACTTTGACACTCTCTGTTAATGTATTTTGAGGGTGATATCATGAGGTCCATCTGCCTTCTCAGTCGAACAAAAAAAATTCTGTGGTTACTAATTGTAAATGTGTAAGAGGGGTTCTCTTTGGCGTTCTGGTCAATATTTATCTCTCAAAATCGTCGTTAAAGCAGTTTGTCTGATTGTTGTTTGTGGGAGCTTGCTGTGTATAAATTAGCTGTTAGGTTTCCAGTGTTACGATCAGTGGCTGCACTTCAGAAGTGCTGTGTCAGCTGCAATGCATTTGGGATGTCCTGACGTTGTGAAAGGTGCTAGATAAACTTAAGGCCTCTTTCTATTTCACATACCTTCACCAAGGATTTGACCCAGGGACAGAGAGCTCCTATCAATCATCACCTTCTTCAGGTTCAGCTTCAGAGAGTTACTGATACCTAGATGCTGCACTAGAAAAAAGGCAAGATACAATCAGAGGAGGCAGCGTACAACAATAAGACAGAGAAAAGAGAGCATGTTAGAGAGAAAGAGAGAACAGGGTCAGGGGTGGGGGAAGTGGAATGGTAGACAAGCACTGAGACAGGTAAGAAAGAAGGAAGGAAAGGAGTACTTAGATTTAGAGTCATAGAGGTTTACAACATGAAAACAGGCCCTTCAGCCCAACTTGCCCATCCTGACCAGTTTTCACAATTTAAACGAGTCCTATTTACCTGCGTTTGGTCCCTATCCCTCCATACCTATCCCATCCATGTACCTGTCCATATGTTTCTTAAATAACAAAATTGCACACACCTCCATTGCTACCTCTGGCAGTCCATCCCAGACACTCAGTACTGTCTGTGTGAAAAAATTGCCCCTCTGGACCCTTTTGTATCTCCCCCCTCACCTTAAACCTATGCCCTCTAGTTTTAGACTCCCCTACAATGGAGAAGCTTTTCCCCACTTACCTTATCTATGACCCTCATGATTTTATAGACCTCTATAAGATCAACTCCCAGTCTCCTACGCTCTAGGGAAAAGTGTCCCAGCCTCTGCTTATAACTCAAACCTTCCAGTCCAGGTAGCATCCTACTAAATCATTTCTGCACTCTTCCTAGTTTAATAATACCCTTTCTGCAGAGGGCGACCAGACCTGCATGCAGTACTCCAAATGTGCCCTCACCAATGTCTTGTACAGCTGCAACAAGACGTCTCCTGTATTCAATGCTCTGACCGATGAAAGCTAGCATGCTGAAAGCCTTCCCCATTGCCCTGTCTACCTGCAACTCCTGTCTACCTGAGTACTTATACAGAAGTACTTATAGACTGAACCATGACTAATCCAGTGACTTACATCGGCCCTCTTCAGTTTCCTTCCTGTAGGACCTTCCTGTGTTGAGTGGCACCAGTTGCAATTTTGTTCCTGTTTTACACCTGGGAAATGAATTATGTGGACATGTAGATATCTATGACATGTTAAAATCTTGTGTTCACGCACACTTCCTACCCACAAGAACATACTTCCTGCTGTCAAGTTGGCATCCCATATTTTGAGTCAACTTTTCCCATTATAAATTCCTACGGTTTATATGTATAATAGAAGTTACCTAAGATACATTGAGTCTACAGCTTGAATACCGGCCATTCAACCCAATCTCTCATGTTGGTGTCTGCAATAGGATGGGCCTAAGGATTATGAGTTAATGATGATATTTGACAGCTGCATGAGAAAATAGATTGCATAGGATGGGAAAATACTTGACAAGCTGCATGACCTTGAATGAGTGCTGTGAGCATTCCTGTACGGGCCGAAGACGAGACCTGCAGCTTGTTTCTCTGTAGCTGTTTTCTGTGCTAGCAAGCAGTTTTGACTTCTGTATCTTCTTTCTCTGTGCTGGCTGTTTGTTACACGGTATAAGAGAGAGAGAGTTTCATTCCAAAAGTTGAACTTCACCTCAGACCGGGATCACAAACGGTGCCAGGAACAACCTCAGCCTCCAGACCAGCCGTCGATCGAGGGGACCCTGACGGCCAGGATGGCATTAGGCTTATTGTTTCTTTCTGGACTTCACCTCGGACCGGGGTCGTGAATGATGCCAGGAACGACCTCAGCCTTCAGACCAGACATCAATTGAGGGGTCCCTGACATGCAGAAGGGCGTGAGGTTTCTTTCCTCTCTTTCTCACTCTTTTTATTTACTTAATAAATATTCCTTTCTTTTTTGTCTTTTATTATTACTCAATAAATGTTCATATTTAAGCAAATTGCTGCTGTGGAGACTTCTCTTAACTACATTTAACCAAATCTGAAAAGAACTGGAGATAGTAGGAACTGCAGATGCTGGAGAATCCGAGAGAACAAGGTGCAGGGCTGGGTGAACACAGCAGGCCAAGCAGCATCATAGGAGCAGAGAGGCTGACGTTTCGGGCCTAGACCCTTCTTCAGAAAAGGGGGAGGGGAAGGGGGTTCTGAAATAAATAGGGAGAGAGTGGGAGGCGGATAGAAGAGGGATAGAGGAGAGGATAGGTGGAGAGGAAACAAACAGGTCAAAGAGGCAGGGATGGGGCCAGTAAAGGTGAGTGTAGGTAGGGAGTTAGGAAGGGGATAGGTCAGTCCAGGGAGGATGGACAGGTCAAGGGGGCGGGATGAGGTTGGTCGGTAGGAGATGGAGGTGCGGCTTGAGGTGGGAGGAGGGGATAGGTGGGAGGAAGAACAGGTTAGGGAGGCAGGGACGAGCTGGACTGGTTTTGGGATGCGGTAGGGGGAGGGGAGATGTTGAAACTTGTGAAATCCACATTGATACCATTGGGCCGCAGGGTTCCCAAGCGGAATATGAGTTGCTGTTCCTGCAACCTTCGGGTGGCATCGTTGTGGCACTGCAGGAGGCCCAGGATGGACATGTCGTCTGAGGAATGGGAGGGGGAGTTGAAATGGTTCGCGACTGGGAGGTGCAGTTGTTTATTGCGAACGGGTGCACTCTGTGATCCAAGACAGTGTCATGATACTTCTCTCTTCTTCTCACCCATCGGTTTCTAACCCAATAATAATTCTTTCCTATTCCTTTTTCATTCATGTGTTTATCTGAGATGTAGCAAACAGGAGCAGGAGTAGGCCATTTGGCAGATCGAGGCCACTCCAGCATTCAGTGTGATCAGGGCCGAACCTCAACTGCAATACCACACTCCTGTGCTTTCCCCATACCCATTCAGTGTTTAGAAATCTATTTCTTTCTTAAGTATGTGCAGTGACTTTGCCTCAACAGCCTCATGTGAAAGAGCATTCCACAGGTTCATTACCTTCTGAATGAAGACATTTCTTCTCATCTCAGTTCCAAATGGCCTGTCCTATATCCTGAGATTGAGTCCCTTTGTTATAAACCCGCCTTATCATCCCTGCATTCAATCTTTGCAGCCTGTCAGAATTCTTTATTAAATGCACATCCCCTATTTATCTTCTAAACTCCTGGTCTAGCCGACTCAGTCTCTCCTCACATGACAATCCTGCCATCCCAATGATGAACCTTTGCTGTACTCCCACTATCAGAACTATATCCCTCCCAAGGTAGGGAGACTAAAATACTCTATGTCTGGTCTGACCAAGGCTCTGTACAGCTATGGTAGAGATATCCCTGCCCATAAACTCAAATCCTCTTGCAGTAAAGACCAACATATCATTTACCTTCTTAACTGCTTGCTGCACCTACATGTGCAAGGTTCCTTTGTATATGGACATTTCCCATTCTATCATCATTTAAGTAATACTTGGCTATTGTGTTTTCCTACCAAAGTGGATAACTGCACACTTATTCATGTTATACTATATCTGCCAATGCACTTTCCCATTCATGCAATTTGTCCAAATCAACATGATGCCTCTTTATATCCTCCTCACTATCCATCTGGCTTCACTCTAATTGTATCTATGTATCTATCAATGCTTCTGAATAACACTCTCTGATATACCCTACACCCCTCAAAGATACCAAGGGATTCAGACATAATGGCATTGAGGTAGAGGATCATCAATGATTCAGTTGAATGGCAGAGGAGGCTCAATGGGCAAAATTGCCTACTCCTACTTTTATGTTCCTATTCACTTTCTCTGCTTCATATGGGTGTGGTGTATATCAGAGAGTATTAAAGTGAGGGGTGTGAGGTATATCAGAGAGTGTTACAGTGAGGGGTGTGGCGTATATCAGAGAGTGTTACAGTCAGCGGGTGTGGGGTATATCAGAGAGTGTTACAGTGAGGGGTGTGGGGTATATCAGAGAGTGTTACAGTGAAGGGGTGTGGGGTATATCAGAGAGTGTTACACTAAGGGGTGTGAGGTATATCAGAAAGTGTTACAGTGAGGGGTATGAGGTATATCAGAGAGTGTTACAGTGAGGGGGTGTGGGGTATATCAGAGAGTGTTACACTGAGCTGTGTGAGGTATATCAGAAAGTGTTACAGTGAGGGGGTGTGGGGTAAATCAGAGAGTGTTACACTGAGGGGTGTGGGGTATATCAGAGAGTGTTACAGTGAGGGATGTGTGTTAGATCAGTGGCATATCAGTGTGGCTTTCAAGGGCCTAGGGTAACCAGGGTTACAGAGTGTCACTGTGAGACACCTCGCTTGCATTTCCCTTGCAGTCAGAGTTGTGTGCCTGGTCTGTCTGTTCCTCAGACAGGATTTAATGCTTACTTGTCCTTCATTTTCATTCTCCAACTGACAAACAAGCCAATGAATAGCACTACCACCAGTGGTGCACCTCCAAATGCTGCCAGTATGACCCCAAGCTGTACATCTCCATTGTCAACAGTTGGTACAACAGTTTTAGTGACGAGGTTTTGATTCTCAGTCTCTGCGGGATACAAACACAAAATTAAAACTTCAGCAAGGGTGTTAACAAGCAAGATAACTGCTTTTAGTAGATGCATAGATTGTGTCTTTCACCCATTCCAAATGAACTGGCCACCAATCATTGTCTGCATTTAATATAGTGAAGTAAACCCCCGCAAGGAACTCATGTGCAGAAATTTCTTTTACTTTACTGTTTCCTGGGATGTAGGTATCACTGGCAGGACAAGCAGGGTGGCTCAGTGGTTAGCACTACTGCCTCACGGCACCAGGAACCCGGTTTTGATTCCAGCCTCAGGTGACTGCCTGCACATTCTCCCCATGTCTGCATGGGTTTCCTCCCGGTGTTCCAGTTTCCTCCCACAGTCCAAAGATGTGCAGGCTAAGTGGATTAGCCATGGGTAATGCACAGTTAGGGGGTTTGATTGGGTCTGGGTGGGATGCTGTTCGGAGGATCAGTGCAGACTCAATGGGCCGAATGGCCTCTTTCTGTGCTGTAGGGATTCAATAATTTGTGCCCTTCCCCAAGTGCCATTGAACTAAGCAACTTGCTAGGTCATTTCTGAGCCAACTACATTGCTGGGGTTTTCTTCCCTAAAGGACATTAGTGAACCAGATGGGTTTTCAACAATTGTTTCATCGTTATCATTAGACTTTTAATTCCAGATTTTCATTGAATTCAAATTCTACCATCTGCCATGACAGGATTTAAACCTGGGTGCCCAGAATATCGTCTGGATTAACAGTCCAGTGGCTGTCACCTCTCTGCTAACTTTGCACTAACCTCCATGAGGTCCACTTGATGGGCTTTGACTTTAGGGATCTGTGGTTTAATGTAGTCCAGAGATTTGTGTCACCTTTACCATACAGTCAGCTTCTCCCATGGATACAGAGAAACACAGATGTTTAATATTATCTATCACCATCACCCCAAACAACTGGCTTACTAACTCCTGGATCCAGCCAATGGGTGCAGGAGACCTGGGGTTCCTCCACTGGGATCCCATCCCTGCTGTATATATGGAGGTGGGAAGGGGCTCTTTATCCCTCCAGTTCGTATCACACACTGGTGTGACTGAAGAACAGCGTTTGTTTTTAAACTCTAATTTAAACAGACTGTCACTACTGTTAAAAAGGTGGAGAAGGCCACTCGTAAAGACACGTTAATGCATTAATTTGCGATATCTCACAGTTTAACTTCAACCCCATTGGGAGCGTCAGCATTGGACCATATATACTGGTGTTCCCAAGGGAGAAAAATAAAGACTTGCAACAATGGTGTAAGTCAACACTTCCCAAACTTCTATACGACCCATCAAGGACTTTTGAAGTCTAGTAACCTTTGAAATATAGCTGCCAAATTGCACCCAGCAAGCTCCCACAAATAGCAATATGATAAGGACTGGGTAATAGCTTTTAGAGGTTTCAGTTATGAGATATCAGGTCTTATCTTTCTTGAAATAGGCCATGGAATGCTTACATCCACCTGAGATGGTCCTCCGTTTGATATCTCCTCTGGAGAACAGTACCTCCTACTGTACAGCACTCCCTTTGTACTGCAGTGGGACACCTTGTGCTGTACAGAACTCCCTCTGTCCTGCATTGGGGCACCTCCTGCTCTACAGCACTCCCCCAATACTGCACTGGGACACCTCCTGCTGTATAGCACTCCCTCTGTCCTGCACTGGGGCACCTCCTACCGTACAGCACTCCCTCAGTACTGCATTGGGGCACCTCCTGCCATACAGCACTCCTTCTGTACTGCACTGGGGCATCTCCTGCCATACAGCACTACCTCAGTACTGCATTGAGGCATCTCCTGCCATACAGCACTCCCTCAGTACTGCACTGGGGCACCTCCTGCTATACAGCCCTCCCGCAGTACTGCATTGGGGCACCTCCAGCTGCACAGCACTGCCTCAGTACTGCACTGGGGCACCTCCTGCTGTACAGCCCTCCCGCAGTACTGCATTGGGGCACCTCCAGCTGCACAGCACTGCCTCAGTACCACAATAGAGTACCTCCTGCTATGCAGAACTCCTTCAGTACTGCCTTGGGGTGTCAACCTAGATGTTGCAATCAAGTTCCTGGGGCTGAGACTTGAACTCACAAACTTGTGGCTCAGAAGGTGGAAGCTCTATGCATTGAGCACGGCTGACGTGTGATTGGTATTTTGTGATTAAAGACATAAAAGATAATTTAGCATCAACTGCGCAGAAAAATCCGTGATTTGGAGCAGCTGTAACAGTAGCACATTGAAGCACAGAGCAGTTCTTGCTGCCCCTCTGTGATACATCCAGCTTCTCACGTTTTCCCATGTTTACATTCTATCTGTGGAGAAAGTACTTCAGCGTATATCTCCTGTCTCACACCAACACTGACAATTCTTAGTGCATCTTACCATTGGCAATGCAAGCAGCTGAAGGAGAGTGTGCCTCAGTCCTGTAGTAACCACTCAAACACGGGCAAGAGACATAGGCCTCAGCATCAGAATGACTGTTGCTGGGGCATTTTGTGCAAACTCCGTTCCCTACTGTGTCCTTGTAATATCCTATTTTACAGGCTGTGAGAGGGAGAGAATAAATCAACAAACTGTAAGCATGCAACAAAATTCAGTTAAGAAATGTTACAAAAAAAAATTTGAATTTATATGGCACCTTTCATGATCTCAAGATGTCCCAAAGCACTTTTGCAGTACTTTACAAGTGCAAAGACTGCTGTGTTGCCAGCAGCCTCCCACAGACAGCAAAATATTAACAACCAAATACTCTGCATTTTTGTATTGATTGAGGGATCAATGTTGGCCTGGACATTGGGGAGAATTCCCTTGGTCTTTCTTGAAACAGTACCATGGATTATTTTACGGTCATCTGAGAGTGGGGCTTTCAGTTGTACCTCAATGACACAGCACTCTGGCACTGGGGAATGTCAGTCTAGATTACGTCTTTGTGTTCAATTCCCTGGTGTGAGACTTTGTTAGTCTCTTTAACACTCACTTAAGACAGACAGACGGAGCCCTTGTTTGGATGCCTTACCCAAAGAGCTGGCAATCTACAGGGGAGACATTGAAATGGCCATAAAGCTAACTTCCAGTGTCAGAGGTAGGAGTTACAAAGTAATTCTGTAGAAACTTGGATTTTCATCACTAAATGGCAGCAACTGAGAGGTAATTGAATCTAAGAATATAAATACCGTAGCAAAAACAGCAGGTCAGAGGCTGGGACTCCTGACTTCCCAAAGCCTGTCCACCAATCACAAGGCACAAGTCAGGAGCGTGAACCATTCTACACACTGTCCCGATTGTAGAGGTCCCACCTTCCCCAGAAATGGTCCCAGTGATCTGGGAATCTAAAACCCTCCCTCCTGCATCAACACTTAAGCTGTGCACTCATCCACTCCATTCTCCTATTTCTGTGCTCACAGGCCCATGGCACAGGGAGTAATCCCGAGAATTTTTGTTCTTGTTTGTTTGTGGGATATGGGCGTCACTGGATGGCCAGCATTTATTGTCTGTCCCTAGTTGCTCTTGGGAAGGTGGTGGTGAGCTGCCTTCTTGAACCACTGTAGTCTACCTGCTGAGGGTTGATCCACAATGCCATTAGGAAGGGAATTCCAGGATTGTGACCCAGTGACAGTGAAGGAATGGTGATATATTTCCAAGTCAGGATGGTGAGTGGCTTGGAGGGAAACTTGAAGGTGGTGGCGTTCCCATGTATCTGCTGTTCTTGTCCTTCTAGATGGAAGTCGTCAGAAGTCACCCGACATCAGGTTACAGTCCAACAGGTTTATTTGAAATCACAAGCTTTCAGAGCCTCGATCTTTCGTCAGGTGAAGTGGAGAGAAGCGCAGAGGCACAGAATATATAGGTGGAAAGATAACAGCAGGATAATTCCAGGTAATTCCAGGACAAACCAAATGGCTGAAATAACATGATGTGTATCAGAGTCATAGATAGAGGTGGTCGTGGGTTTGGAAGGTGCTGTCTGAGGATCTTTGGTGAGTTTCTGCAGTGCATCTTGTAGATGGTACACACTGCTGCTACTGAGCGTTGCTGGTGGAGGAAGTGGTTGCTTGTGGATGTAGTGCCAATCAAAACCTTTGATTTCAACCTGCGAGGTCCTGCTTTTTATCTACTGCCTGGCAAGACCTCATCTCTCGCTCTACCTATGTTTACCACAACCTCATTTTCTCACCCTCCCCCTTCAGGAGTCCCTGCAGCATTTCAGCTGACTCTGGCATCAGGGAGGCAACACAGCATCTTGGAGTCATGTCTGTGGCCACAGAAACGATAGGAGATTCAGGATGAGGTGTGAACCCTTTCCTTGTAGCCTATCCAACAACTGTAAAAATTAGTTTCAAAAACCCTCCTCACATCTAGGGACAGCGTTGGACAGAATTGGTTCTATGAAGCTTTGAGTGTTATAAAGCTGATGATTAAATGCAGACTCCAGTCGAGATTGCGTACAAAATGGCATATTACTGTCAGTCATTGTTTCTCAATGAGAACTTGTTTGGGCTAGTGACCACTGTGTGTTGAAATACAGTCCTCATTACAAAGATAACGTAAAAAGCAACCTCTTACAGCCTGTTTGTGAGACTGGTAAGGTTTGTGACATTGTGTGTGATAATCATAGAATCATAGCGTTGTACAGCACAGAAACAGACCCTTGGGTCCAACTCATCCACGCTGACCAGATATCCTAAATTAATCTCATCCCATTTGTCAGCATTTGGCTCACATCCCTCTAAACCCTTCCTATTCATGTACCCACCCAAATGCCTTTTAAATGTTGTAATTGTATCAGCCTCCACCTCAGGCAGCTCGTTCCCTAAACACAACACCATCTGCGTGAAACAATTGCCCCTCAGGTCCCTTTTAAATTATTCCCCTCTCACCTTAAACCTATGCCCCTCTAGTTTTGGACTCCCCTACCCTGGGGAAAAGACCTTCGCTATTCACCCTAACCATTCCCCTCATGATTTTATAAACCTCTATAAGGTCACCCCTCAGCCTCTGATGCTCCAAGAGAATAGCCCCAGTCTATTCAGCCTCTCCCTATGGCTCAAACCCTCCAACCCTGGCAACATCCTTGTAAATCTTTTCAGGACCCTTTCAAGTTTCACAGGGAGACTAGTAACAGGGGAATATTTTTTAACATCCACTTGAGAGGGCTGATAGGGATGGCATTAGAGAGGTGGTTGTGATGTTGTTGGGGGTTGGGGGAGACACCTCCGCCAGTGCGGTATTTGCTATGTACTGCACTGAAATGTCAGTATAGATGATGTACACGGGTATCTGGAGAGGCTGTGTTTTATTGCCACTACAACTGCAAGGGGTGCACTGAAGCCCATACACTCGCAGTATCTCTGACTTTGCTGCCTAACAGAGCAGTGAGGGGCAGTGCAGAGCTGGGAGTGTGGGGGAAACAGAGTGGACAGCAGAAAAGTGAACTTTGGAGTGGGGAGCAAGAGAGTGGGGACCCAAGTTGAGCTGTGTACAAGTGAGTGAGGCATGGATTCCTTAGGCATCAGTGATGCCAAACATGTGCATGAGAGCAGATTCGGTGCCACCTTCCAGCTTTAAACACACAATGGGTAAGACCATACGAACAGAATACATATGAGTTGAAGTAGGCCATTCAGCCCATCACAGCAGTTCTTGATTCAGTGAGATTATGGCTTATCTGATAATCCTCAACTACATTTTCCTGCATTTTCCCCATAACCATTGATTAAACCTGACTGATTAAAAATCTGTCTTTGAATATACTTAATGACCGAACTTTGACAGCCTTCTGTGGTAAAGAATTCCACAGACTCCCTACCCTCCAGACAGAAGAAATTCCTCCTCATGTCTATTTTAAATGGGTGAACCCTTATTCTGAGATTATATCCTCTGGTCCTAGACTCTCCCACAAGGGGAAACAACTTCTCCACATCTACTCTGCTAAGTCCTTTAAAAATCTTGTATGATTCAATAAGGTCACCTCACAATATTCTATATGCTGACAAATACAAGCCTAATCTACTCAACCTCTCCTCACAAGACAGTCCCTCCATATTTGATGTCAACTTAGAGAATTTTCTTTGGATTGCCTTCAATGCCAGTAGCTGGGGGTGGGGGTTCAGAAATGGGATGCCGTCATCCTCACATTTACGAAGGCGAAGAAGGTTCTGTCACAGCAGTGTAACTAAATGTAAGCACTTTACCTCCTCATTCTGCTGAGTTTACTCACATTACCTGAATCTAGAATCTCTCACATCCTTCAGTTTTCTCTTATTGACCAAGTCCTCAAACCTAAGCTTGGTGCCTCACAATCACCATTAGAAAATGAGGATAGACTTTGTCTTCACGGCTGGGTTGAACAGGATCATGGATGCATTGCCGTGTCAGCTCATTGGGTAGTGGTCTCTAATTGTTGAGCCAGAAGTTGAAGTCCACACTCTAGAATGGAGTATAGAGCCAGCAATAAGATGGCCGACAAAGATGGCCACCACATGGAGAGGGGGGCGCCTTAGAGCTCAGGTCAGGGTGTATCTTATAAACCGACTCTCGCTGCTTTCTGTCTGCATGATTTCTGTTAGACCGGTTGAGTAGATTGGGCCTGTATTTGTCAGCATATAGAATATTGTGAGGTGACCTTATTGAGTCATACAAGATTTTTAAAGGACTTAGCAGAGTAGATGTGGAGAAGTTGTTTCCCCTTGTGGGAGAGTCTAGGACCAGAGGATATAATCTCAGAATAAGGGTTCACCCATTTAAAATAGAGATGAGGAGGAATTTCTTCCATCTGGAGGGTAGGGAGTCTGTGGAATTCTTTACCACAGAATGAGGAGGGAAAGTGCTTACAGCGAAAAGCAAAGGTGATCTGAGGAAGGGTCACTGGACCCGAAACGTTAACTCTGTTTTTTCCTTCACAGATGCTGCCAGACCTGCTGGGCTTTTCCAGCAACTTCTGTTTTTGTTCCTGATTTACAGCATCCGCAGTTCTTTCGGTTTTTTATTAAAGGTGATCTCATGTCAGGTCCATTCAATTTAAAAGAAATGTGTGCTGTTTGTCAGGATATAATCTGATTTAGGATTGTGACACACATGCAGCACACACGCAATACCTGAAAAGCCCAGAGTTTCAGACACGGTGCTGAATCAAACAGCAGGCACCAGGGAAACCACACATTACATTCTTCACTGATGTCTAACAGAAATCATGCAGACAGAAAGCAGCGAGAGTGGGTGTATAAGATACACCCTGACCTGAGCTCTAAGGCATTTTAAAAAGCATTCTATCAGTCAGTTGAATGTTAACACTGGGAATGGGACATTCTTCTGTTTCAGGCATTCACTGTGTGGCTACAATGTCCCCGTCAAATACTCCCAGAATAGGGTTAGATACAGGCTATAGCTCCCGCTGCACTGTCCCCAACAAATACTCCCAGGACAGGAACTGGACTGGGTTAGATACAGGTATAGTAGCTGGTACACTATCCCCATCAAACACTTGGAGGACAGGTACACGACAGGGTTAGATACAGAATAAACTGCCTCTATTCTTTTAAACTGGATGTAAAAGCATCCTGTACTCATTTAAATTGAAAGTAAAGCTTCCTCTACATTGTCAATTTCAAACACTTGCAGGCAAATGAAATAACTGCATGGAGACCGGTATCCCATCATCAAGTCATCTCTTATTTACTTGCTCACAGTACCTTGGCTGTGGTCAGCCAACTCGGAGTCAGTCCCATGGACTGTGGAGATTTTAAATCCCCTGTTACATTGGTCAGCCAGGGCTTTCCCAATTGGCCCAAGTTAACAAACCCAATCAAGGATCTCATAGTCAACAAAATCTACCTGGTTCCAATCGCTACAGCAACATACAGCACAGGGTTAGCTACAGAGTAAAGCTTCATCTACACTGTCCCCATCAAACACTCCCAGGACAGGGACAGCATCAGGTTAGATACAAAGTAAACTTCCTCTACTCTTTTAAACTCAAAGTAAAGCCTTCTCTACACTGTCCCCATCAAACAGTCCCAGGACAGGGACATCACAGGGTTGGATATAGAATAAAGCTCCCTCTACACTGTTGCTATCAAACAGTCCCAGGACAGGGAAATCACAGGGTTGGACATACAGGAAAGGTCTCTCTACTCTTTTAAACTGAAAGTAAGAGCCTGTCTACTTTTATTTTAAACTGAAATTAAAGATCCGTCTACACTGTCCAATTCAAATACTCCCAGGCACGATACAGCACACCAGGGTTAGATACAGAATAAATTTCCCTCTACACTGTCCCCACCAACACTCCCAGGACAGATACACATTACAGATTAAAGATCCATCCACAATGCTAAAGTTCCTGACATCTATTCACTATGACAAATATTCCATTTCCAACTGCCAATTGGTTATAATCCAACAGGTTTATTTGAACACACATGCTTTCGGAGCGTTGCCCTGATTCCTCAGGTGTAATGAGACAGGAAATATCAAAACACAGAATTTATAAGTAAAAGGTCAAAGGATTATACAACTGATGCGAATGTATTTAATAACCCTGGCGGGAGTCAGCTAGCCAATTTAGGGTTAACATAATCCTTTGATCTTTTACTTATAAATTCTGTGTCTTGATACTCTCATTGCACCTGAGGAAGGGGCATCACTCCAAAAGCTTGTGTGTTCAAAAAAACCTGCTGGACTATAACCTGATGTGTGATTTTTGACTTTGTCCACCCCAGTCCAACACTGGCACCTCCACATCATTTCCAACACTGGCTTCTCCGTGTGGGATTACTGGAGCTGGATTTCCCTGGAAACTGTATCCCACACATTAGTGATTAACAACGCAGTGGAGAAGACAGAATTCCACCTCATTGGGCTGGGTTGCATCCAGGCCTCTGTTAATGTGACACAATCGTGTCCAACCACCCCAACTTTCCATCTTCGAAGCATGAGAAAATGTGACTTGGCTGTGTTGTTCAGTTATTATGAATTGAGTCCTTTGTTTTGGATTGCTTGTTATTACTGGATGCGGATCTGGACTGGAGGTCTATGACCAGCGGTGTCCCGCAAGGATTAGAGCTGGGTCCACTGCTTTACATCATTTATACAAATGATTTGAATGTGAACTTAGGAGGTATGGTTAGTAAGTTTGCAGATGACACCAAAATGGAGGTGTAGTGGACAGTGAAGAAGATTATCTCAGAGTACAACAGGACATTGATCAAATATGCCAATAGGCTGAGGAGTGGCAGGTGGAGTTTAATTTAGATAAATGTGAGGCAAATCAGGGCAGGATTTATACACTCAATGGTAAGGTCCTGGGGAGTATTGCCGAACAATGAGACCTAGAGGTGCAGGTGCATAGTTCCTTGAAAGTGGAGTCGCAGGCAGATAGGACGGTGAAGAAGGCATTTGGTACGCTTGCCTTTATTGGTCAGTGCATTGAGTATAGGAGTTGGGAAGGTCATGTTGCAGCTGTACAGGACATTGGTGTGGCCACTTTTGGAATACAGCATTCGATTCTGGTCTCCCTGCTATAGGAAGGTGTTCTTAAATTCGAAAGGGTTCAGAAAAGATTTACAACATGTTGCCAGGTTTGGAGGGTTTGTGCTACAGGGAGAGGCTGAATAAGCTGGGGCTATTTTCCCTGGAGTGTCAGAGGCTGAGGGGTGACCTTATAGAGGTTTATAAAATCATTAGGGAAATGGATAGGGTGAGTAGCCAAGGTCTTTTTCCCAGGGTATGGGAGTCCAAAACTAGAGGGGCATTGGTTTAGGTGAGAGGGGAAGGATTTAAAAGGAACCTGAGGGGCAACTTTTCCACGCAAAGGGTGGTGAGTGTATGGGACAAGCTGCCAGAGGAAGTGGTGAAGGTGGGTACAATTACAACATTTAAAAGGCATCTGGACGGGTAAATGCATAGGAAGGGTTTGGAAGGATAACTCAGGATAGCTGGTCGGCATGGACGAATTGGACCAAAGAGTTCTGGTTCTGTGCTCTATGACTCTATCTGGGGAGCCAGACAACCAGAAATAACCTTGTGGGGGCTAAGCTTGAAGTAGAAAGATAATGGCCTTTGCGTAAGGGAGAATATTATCTCACTCCAGCTCCAACTGAGTTCTATTCTGTGGTTACAGACTTGTGGATGAAAAGCCCATCCTGCGCTGGTTAAGTTTCTTGCAGTGACAGTTATTTCAGCTGGGTTTCATACTGTTTAAATTAGAAAAATAAACAGTCACAGAGCTGGTCCATTAGCCAGCAATCTGCTGCTAACCACAAGCTTTGCCTAGAGGCATTTTTGTGCACTGTGCCACTTTATCGCCTCTCCCAATCCTGTGGGTAGGAATTAATTTGTCCCTGATTTTCCAGGGATCTGCAGCCATAACTCAAAACTGTTTCAAAGCAAATTGCTTCAAAATCAAATCGTCTCAGTCCACTCTGACAATGCCCTGCATCGGGAATCATTGCGGGTCTGGGGTGTGATGGGGTTCTGAAATAATTGCCTCCGGTTGCTGGTGGGACCCTCAGATCTCTCAGAACATCCCAAGATCGCTTGTGAAGTTACTCTTGGGAGTGTCGTCAGCACTGTCTTGGAGAGAAAAGGGACTGCAAATCGGGGCACTGCAAGATCTCATCAACACTATAGATAATAATTGTAGAATTCCTGCAGTGTGGGAGCAGGCCAGTGAGCCCAATGAGTGGGCACTGACCCTCCAAACAGCATCCCACCCAGACCCCACTACCCCTAAGTTATCCCTGCAAACTTGCACTTCCCATGGCTAATCCACCTAGCCTGCACATCTTTGGACTGCGGGAGGAAACCGGAGCACCCGGAGGGAACCCATGCAGATACGGGGAGAATGTGCAAACTCCACGCAGACAGTTGCCTGAGGGTGGAATCAAACCCGGGTCCCTGGTGCTGTGTGACAACAGTGCCAACAACTGAGATGCCGTGCCACCCCAAAGTGTCTCAGTCAGAGATGGAGAATCACTGACAGCGTAGCACTCTCTCAGTACTGCATGGCGGAGTTAGGCACAGAAATCACAGGCTCCCAAGTGGAGTTCCAGGCCTAGGCTCACCCCAACCCTAGCTCACCATCAGCGCCCCAGAACCCCTGGCCCACCTCACCATGCCTGGGCACAGTCACATTTCCCACCTTCGCAGGCCCATGCATGGAAGCCCCCTTGGAGACCCTGATTCTTGGGCGCTAAGGTGCCCCCACTGCGCTAGACTTCGCTGCTTGAAAGTGAGCAGTGTGCCTGAAATTTGGAGCTAATCCTGAATTCATACTCTGCCCATTACCCTCTGGCCTCCTAGAAAACAGCACCACTACTGCAGTAATGCAATAAGCCAAAGATCTGCAGGTTTTCTGCAAAAACAGAAATTATCTGAGAGACTCAGCAGGTCTGGCAGCATCTGTGGAGAGAAAACAGTTAACGTTTCGAGTCCAGTGATCCTTCTTCAGAACAGTTTTGAAGAAGGGTCTCTGGACTTGAACCGTTGAGTCTGCTCCCTGCCTTTCAACTTGGTGCCCTCTGCAAACCAGCAACGCTTCCTGTACAATTTTCACAGCTCTCCACGCTCTGAGGTCAAAATCCTAGAACTTCTCCAACGTCAATGCAAGTGTCCCTGCACCAAGTGGACTGCAATCATTCAAGATGGCAGCTCATCACCACCTTCTCAAGGGCTGGGCAATAAACGCTGAGCCCAGCCAGCGACATCCACTTCCCACAAGGGAATGAAAAGAAACAGTTACGATCATTTTCAAGCCTTGATGCTGAAAGTGGGGTCAGTGTCATGGGGAAAACGCTGGGAAGTAGTGACCTAGGGGCTTCCACCCCTAGAATTAGGCTGAGGGGGTGTTTGATGAAATGTATTCCTTCTCCCACGGTTGCTAATATAATAGTCTGGCACTTTAAGAACAGCAACTATTATCAAATGGAAGGTTTGAGTTATAAAGAAAAGCCAGGGCTTTTTTCACTGGAGCATAGGAGGTTGAGACGTGATCTGATAGAAGTTTGTAAAATAATGAGAGGTATGGATAGGGTTAATGGCAGGCATCTTTTCACTATGATGGGGAGATTTTGAGACTAGGGGGCACATTTTTAAGGTGAGAGATATTTTAAAATAAACATGAGAGGCAACGTTTTTACACAGAGGGTGTTTTGCATCTGGAATGTACTTCCTGAGGAATTGGTGGATGTGGGTACCATTACAAAATTTAAAAGATCGCTAGGATAGGTACAAAACTAGGAAAGGTTTGGAGGGATATGGGCCAGAAGCAGGCAGGAGAGGACTAGTTTAGTTTGGGATTATGTTCGGCGTGGACTGGTTGGACGGAGCAGGCAGGAGAGGACTAGTTTAGTTTGGGATTATGTTCAGCGTGGACTGGTTGGACCAAAGGGTCTGTTTCCATGCTGTATGGCTCCATACATATGTACTCCAAGGTGGTGTTTTAACTAATGAGTAGATTAATGTAGCCCTTACCTGCACAGGCATTGTCTTTAGCTTGGTAACCCTCTCGGCAGACGCAGTGACCAGCAGAGGGTCCCCAGACACCGTCCGTGCCACAGAGACGTTGCGGTAACCCCATCTGTATCGAGTTATCGACACACTGGCCACGGACTAGCTCGCCACTGCCTGTGGCCTGAGGAAACATGGTCAGGTTGTGAAGGCTGAGCGGGCATTTCTTGTAGTACACCCTGAAGGAGCTGAGGAGGAGGCAGGGGCCAATATAATCAAAACCCAGCTGAAAGACTGAGCGGCTCACAGGACCCAGGCTCTCCCTTGTGACAGTGTTGAGAGTTCTCCTCAGCTTCATCCAGTCAATGGGCCCTTCCAGGTACTCCATGGGGAAGTGCTTCTCACCCTTGATATGGATCCTGACGGAATTGTCAATTCTGGGTCTGGCATTATCATTGTCCGACTGGAAGAAGTACACAGTGAAGTCCTCCATACAGTTGCCTGGGAACAGGCAGCTCAAGAAAGTAAACTTCAGGTCCAGGAAGAGGTGGCGAGCATCCCCAGTTGAGATTGGACCGGTCCACAAAACCTGGGACTTCTTCTGGAGTTTAGGGTCCAATGGGCAGCACTGGTATACCAAGTGGGATGAATTGCTCTCCAGGGCAAATCTGCCATCTGACCACTGTGGATGCAAAATACAGGACAGCAGCTAGAATAAACAGTCACATTCACAGAGGCCCAGAAAGGAGATGAGCAGATACTTTCATGATCACGTAAAGAGAGCTTTAATCTGTATCTAACCCTGTACTGTTCCTGTCCTGGGAGTGTTTCATAGAGACAGTGTAGAGTGTGCTTTACTCCCCACCGAACTCCCCACTGCCCCTGTCCTAGGAGCATTTTATGGGGCAATCTAAAGACAGATTTACTCTGTATCTGACCATATGTTGTCCCTGTTCTGGGAGTGTTTGATGGGGGACAGTGTAGAGGGAGCTTTACTCCGTATCTAACCCCGTGCTGTCTCTGTCCTGGGGAGTGTTTGATGGGAGACAGTCCAGAGGGAGCTTTACTCTGGATCTAACCTCATACTGTCCCTGAGGAGAGCGTTTGATGTGAACAGTGTAGAGGCAACTTTACTCTGTATCTAACCCAGTGCTGTCCCTGTCCTGGGAATGTTTGATGGGAACAGAGTAGAGAAAGCTTTACTCAGCATCTAACCCTGTACTACCCCTGTCTTCGGAGTGTTTGATGGGAGACAGTATAGAGGAAACTTTACTCTGTATCTAACACTGTGTTGTCCCTGTCCTGGGAGTGTTTGTTGGAGACGGTGTAGAGACATCTTTACTCTGTATTTAACCCCATACTGTCCCTGTCCTGAAAATGTTGGCTCTCTTCCCCCATCATTATCCCCCTGTCTAAATATTATTCCAGAGGAGGCAGAGGTACAAATGTGAGTTGTGATAATTATTTTTGTGGTGAATATGATGAAAAATTGGTGAAAGCAAAGGACAGATGAATGGAGCAATGGGAGCAAGAGGGTCATTGCTTACCTTGGTATTACGGTTTAACAATTTATTGTTGTTCCAAGAGTCAAACAGAACCACTGCAAGAAAAGAAAAGTTCCTGTAAGTATAATCCAAAGTGTAAGTCCAAAGATTTGCAGGCTAGGTGGATTGGCCATGCTAAATTGCCTATAGTATCCAGGGATGTGCAGGTTAGATGGATTGGCCATGCTAAATTGCCTATAGTATCCAGGGATGTGCAGGTTAGATGGATTGGCCGTGCTAAATTGTCCCATAGTGCCCAGGGATGTGCAGGTTAGATGGATTGGCCATGCTAAATTGTCCCATAGTATCCAGGGATGTGCAGGTTAGGGTGGATTGGCCGTGCTAAGTTACCCCATAGTGTCCAGGGATGTGCAGGTTAGGGTGGGTTGGCCGTGCTAAATTGTCTATACTATCCAGGGATGTGCAGGTTAGGGTGGGTTGGCCGTGCTAAATTGTCCCGTAGTGCCCAGGGATGTACAGGCTAAGCCTATGTGGGTTAGCCATGGGAAATACAGGGATAGGATAGAGGGATGAGTCTGGGAGGGATCCTCTTTGGAGGGTCTTTTTGGACTCAGTGGGCCGAATGGCCTGCTTTCACATTATAGGTATTCCATTCTTTAGTATGAAACACAAAAGATGACCTTCCCCACTCTCATGTGTGACTGCTTCAGGGAGTTGAATGATGATATTTATGTATGTCCATTGTTACAGTACATCAAATGGGTAAAGTGTGCGGCTGTTGATGTGCAAGTGACACAGCGATGGGAGATGAAACTAATTCGGTCTAAAGCAAGATAACATTATTGAGACCTACAAAAAATCTCGCTCCCTACTTTCCGACATCTCTTGGGGTACAGAGAGGTGGCTGGCACATCCCAGTGGTTGGTGAACTTCAGGTACATGTTGAATGTTGGTTGGTTGTTTGACTTTGGGGATTCATCACTGCCTATCCCTCATTCTCACCCTCACTCATTGTGCATTTATTGTGAAGAGCGCTGTCTAATGACCAAGTGCAAGGACTTCCGCCGAAGCCCCCTACACAAGGAAATATAAAAAGGGACTGCTGCCTTTAGGAAGGTCATGAAGTGCTTTATGACAATGATCTGTGAGGTATAATCATTGTTATATGTTAGAATTTGCCCATAGGAAGTTCCCATAAATGGGCTATGACCAGCTAATCTTTTAGATCCTGGTTGAGGGATTAGTATTATCCAGGACACAGTGGGGATAAACTCCCCAAGTCCTCTTCAAAGTAATGGCCACACACTTAGAGTCATACAGCATGGAAACAGACTCTTCGGGTCCAACCAGTCCACGCTGAATATAATGCCAAACTAAAAACCAAAAGAACTATGGATGCTGTAAATCAGAAACAAAATCAGAAATTGCTGGAAAAAGCTCAGCAGATCTGGGAGCACTTGTGGAGAGAGATCAGAGTTAACGTTTCAGGTTGAGTCACCCTTCCTCAGAACCTCCCCAGAATAATCCCAGACTACACTAGTCCCACCTGCTTGCGCTTGGCCAACATCCCTCCAAACCTTTCTTATTCATGTACTTATCCAAATCTCTCTAAAACGTTGTAATTGTACCCATATCCATCACTTCCTGTGGAAGTTCATTCCACACATGAAACACTCTCTATGTAAAAAAAGTTGGCCTACATGTCCTTTTTAAAGCTTTTGTCTTTCACCTTAAAAATATGTCCCCTAGTTTTGAACTCCCCCACCCTAGGGAAAAGACACCTGCGATTCACTTTATCTATATTCCTCATGATTTTATAAACCTCTATAAGGTCAACCCTCGACCACCTAACCTCCAATGAAAACGTCCCAGCCTATCCAGCCTCTCCTTCTAACTCACAACCTCCATTCCCAGCAACATCCTGGTAACTCTTTTCTGAACCCTCTTCAGCTTGATAAATATCCTTCTTATAACAGGGCGACCAGAATTTGACACAGTATTCCAGACGACGTCTCACCAACGTCCTATATAACCTCAACATGATGTCCCAACTCCTATACTCAAAGGTCTGAGCAGTGAAAGCAAGCGTGCCAAACACCTTCTTAACCACACTTCAAGAGGGTTAATGGAGCGTTGGTTTGTGTTTGGCAGCTCTAACACTTCAGCAGCCCTTGAGTATTACATTGGGAGAGTCAGTCTAGATCTTGTGTTCAAGTTCTTGGAGTAGGACGTGAACCTACAACCTTCTAAGTCAGAGGCAAGCAAGTGCAATTAACAACCTCCTGCATCACAACTAACAACCCACTTTCCTACAATAATTAGTCAGTGCTGAAAATGGTTAAACAAGAACACAAGCAAAGTTATTAACCTCTGCATTCTGCAGAAACCTTATTGTTAAATAAAAATTCCCCTTCAGGTCAGACCCAGAGAAGAAAGAGTTTGGCCCGGATACTCTCCTTACCATCATACAGGTGGTCCTCTGTTCCCGAATGCACAGGCTGTAAAATGAACCACGTCAGGCAGAGGAGGTGCAGGGGACCTGGTAGATGCATAGCTCTGACAGATTCTGAGGCTGCTGTCTCAGGCTCTGCCTGGGTGTACTGCACGCAGAGTGAATCACATTCTAATTTTACTTGCAGTGATTAGGCATCAGTCAGAACCAGGAGGTGTGGTCTCTGAACAGCCAACAACAGAGACAGGGGTGGGAGGGGAAAACAGAAGGAAAATGACTGTAATGCGTTTGGAATTATTTTTCCTAGAAAAGCAGTTTTTTTTAATAGTAATTAGATTTTTTTATTTCAAAATATACTTTATTCATAGAAGGTAATCTTTATGTACGTACACAGTTAATGAAGCTGTTCAGATCTATACTCCACCTGCAGAGAACAAAATAGCTTTTGGCTTTCTCTATATATACAATTAAACTGTTGGCAATACTATTTTTGCAAATCCTTTCCTATCCTGTTGTGCAATAGTGTTTTTGATTCAGAATCTTCGGGCTTTGTAACACAAGTGCAGTCTACCAAAACTCAAAATAAAACCTAATTTCTTTCTACTGCTGTGATGTGGAAGTGCTGGTGTTGTACAAGGTCAAAAATCACATGACACCAGGTTATAGTCCAACAGGTTTATTTGAAGACACAAGCCACTGACACCTGAAGAAGGATCGAGACTCCGAAAGCTTGCAGCTCCAAATAAACCTGTTGGACTATAACCTGGTGTCATGTGATTTTTTTGACCTCTTCCTACTGCACCTAGTGGAAAGGGTAAGTTTGTGGGAGTCATGCTCCAGCTGAGTTCTGATGCTTTCCAAAGACAAACTGGCATTCAGTCCCTGGGTTTATCCTTAAAGATAAGAATTAAGAAATGCTTTGCATTCTTATAGCCCCGTGCATAATCTCGGGCTGTCCCAAAGTGCTTTGTAGTTAATTTGATATGCAGTTACTGTTGTAAACACAGCAGCTAATCTGCACTCGGGAAGGTCTCCACATTCAGGAAAGCAATACAGACTAGATCATCAGTGATAACAAGGTGTAGAGCTGGATGAACACAGCAGGCCAGGCAGCATCAGAGGAGCAGGAAAGCTGACATTTCGGGTCTGGACCCTTCTTCAAAAAACCTCTGCAGATCATCAGTGAATTTTTTTTAAGGATTGAAGGACACTGGGGAGAAAGCCTTGCTCCACTTCTACAAAATAGCACTCTAAGATCTTCTGCATTAGCTTGAGAGGAATTTATTTGTCTTGTTTGAAAATAGCTCTAGTAGCGCAGCACTCCTTCTGCACTGGGGCTGTCAGCCTGATTTATGTGCTCAGCTGTCCATGGCGTGACATAATCTACAACCTCTGATTCCACAGTAGTGACATCTGTTGAGCCACCCCTGATAGAGTTACCAAAACGGATTTTTTTCCTTTTCCAACAGAGAACCAGCACAGACCCAAGGGCCAAAAGGTCTCCTCCTGCCTGCCCTGACTCTATGAGGATCGTGAATCAGCACAGCGGAGAGATGAACGTTGGATCACGGTCTGTACCTCGCACACCCCCTTAACCTGTTGGCTGTTGGTGTATAAAGTGTGATACATGTAGTTCTTGCGTGACGTTGCGCTATAGAAAATTGCACCAGAGAAAATCATGTTATAGGGAAATCATTAGACCTGTGCAGCAGAAAGTTCCTGTTATCCAAACAGCATCCACTATTCATCAACTGCGTTTCAGCCAATTCACATTAACATAACATGCATTATAGCAGAACTGCCTATATAACATTCAGCCTAGGGACTGAATCCAGTGCACACTATTTTATGTGTATCTTACCTTTAAGAGAGTTTAAGGACTCCAAGTGCTGTGTGTATTCGGTGTTGCAACTCTGCCTGCCAGTGAATCTGCTATGGCTCTGCGCGTTGCAGAGAAAGCAGTCGGTTTGCTGACATATCTGCTTTGTAACTTAAAATGTGTTTTACTGTTTAAAATAACCTAACCCATAGAGTTAATCCATCCCTGATGCACGATTGATCCTCAGAACATTATCATTTTTCTTTTATTCATTCATGGGATGTGGGCATCGCTGGCTGCACCAACATTTATTCTCCATTGCTACTTGTCCTTGAAAAGGTAGTGGTGATTTGCCTACTTAAATCGCTGTGATCCACGTGCTGCAGGTTGTTAAGGAGGGAGTTCCAGGATTTTGACCCAGCGACACAACAGAAATGGCAATATATTTCCAAGTCAGAATGGTGAGAGGCCTTTGGAGGGGAACTTGCAGGTGTCTGCATGTATCTGCTGCCCTTGTCCTTCAAGAAAGAAGTTGTCCTGTATTTGGAAGGTGCAGGTCTAAGGATTTTTAGTGAATTTCTGCAGTGCATCTTGTAGCTAGTACACACTGCTGTTTTTGAGTGTTGGTAGTGGAGTAGATGCTTGGGGATGTGGTGCCAATGAAGCGGACTGCTTTATCCTGGATGGTGTCGAGCTTCTTGAGTGTTGTTGGGGCTGCCCCCATCCAGGCAAGTGGGGAGTATTCCCTCACACTCCTGACTGGTACCTTGTTGATGATGGACAGGCTTTGGGGAGTCAGGAGGTGAGTTTCTCGCCGCAGTATTCTTAACCTCTGACCTGCTCTTATAGCCACTGTGCTGCCAGACCTGCTGAGCTTTTCCAGCAACTTCTGTTTTTGTTCCTGATTTACAGCATCCGCAGTTCTTTCGTTTTTTTTATTTCTTATAGTCACTGTGTTTATGTCGTGAATCCAGTTGAGTTCATGGATGTTCTTAGGCAATTCAGTAACGATAACATAATTGCATGTCAATTGCATGTAATTAGGAGATGGCCATTGCCTGGCATTTGCGTGGCACAAATGTTACTTACCACTTGTATGCCGGATATTATCCAGATCATGTTGCATTTGAACATAGACTGCTTCAGTATTTGAGGAGTCACAAATGGTGTTGAACACTGCAATCATCAGCGAACATCCCCACTTCTGACTTTATAGAGTCATAGAGTCATACAGCACAGAAACAGACCCTTTGGTCCAACTCGTCCATGCCAACCAAGTTTCCCAAACTAAACTAGTTCCATTTGCCTGCGTTTAGCCCTTAACCCTCTAAACTTTTCCTATTCATGCACCTGTCCAAATGTCTTTAAAATGTTGTAACTGTACCTGCATCCATCACTTCGTCCTACAGTTCATTCCACATATGAACACCGTCTGTGTGAAAAATTTGCCCCTCAGGTCTCTTGTTAATCTTTCTCCTTTCACCTTAAAAATATGTCCTCTAGTTTTGAATTTCCCTGTCCTAAGGAAAAGACGTTTGCTATTCACCTTATCCACGCCCCTCATGATTTTATAAACCTCTATAAGGTTACCCCTCAACATCCTACGCTCCAGTGAAAAAAGTCCCAGTCTATCCAGACTCTCCGTATAGCTCAAACCGTCTAGTCCCGGCAACATCCTTGTAAATATTTTCTGAACCCTCTCCCATTTAATATCCTTCCTACAGCAGGGCGACCAGAACTGTACATTCCAAAAGTGGCCTCACCAATGTCCAGTACAACTGCAACATGATGTCCCAATTCCTACACTCAATGGTCTGTGTAATAAAGGCAAGCATGCCAAATGCCTTCTTTAGCACCCTGTATACCTATTACACAACTTTCAAAGGACTATGTACCTGAACCCCTAGGTCTCTCTGTTCGACAGCACTATCCAGGGCCCTACTATTAACTGTTTGTCTTATCAGAATGCAACATCTTGCGTTTTTCCATCTGCCACTCCTAACCCCTTTGGTCCAATTGATTAAGGTTCCTTTTAATCTTAGATAACCTTCTTCACTGTTTACTATACCACAAGGGAAGGTAATTGATGAAGCAGCTGAAGATGGCTGGGCCTAGGATTCTACCCTGAGGAACATCTGCAGAAATGCCATTCAGCTGAGATAACTGACCACTAACAACCACAAATGTGTTCCTATGTGTCAGGTATGCAAAGATGGAGAGTTTACCCCCTGACACCTATTGATTCCAGTTTTGCTAGGGTTCCTTGATGCCACACTTGGTCAAATGTGGTCTTGACTTTAAGGTTCTGTTGCTCTCACCTCGCCTCTGGAATTCAGATCTTTTGTCTATGTTTGAACCAAGGCTGTAATGAGGTCAGGAGCTGTGTGGCCCTGGTGGAACCCAAACTGGGCGTCACTGAGCAGGTTATTTCTGAGCAGGAGTTGCTTGATAGCACTGTTACTGACACCTTCCATCACTTTACTGATGATCGAGAGTAGACTGATGGGGCGGTAATTGGCTGGGTTGGATCTGTCCTACTTTCTGTGTACAGGACATACCTGGGAAATTTTCCACATTGTCAGGTAGATGTCTGTGTTGTAACTGTATTGGAATAGTTTGGCTAATTCTGCAGCACAAGTCTTCAGTACTGTTGCCGGAATGTTGTCAGGGCCCGTAGCCTTTGCAATATCCATTGTCTCCAACCATTTCTTGATATCATGTGGAATGAATCGAATTGGCTGAAGACTGGTATTTGTAAAGCTGGGGACCACAGGAGGAGGCCGAGATGGATCATCCACTTGGCACTTTGGCTGAAGATTGCTGCGAATGCTTCAGCCTTATCTTTTGCTCTCAAGTGTGGGCTCTTCCATTATTGCAGATGGGGATATTTATGAAGCCTCCACCTCCAGTGAGTTACTTAATTGTCCACTACCTGCAGACTGCAGGACTGCAGAATTTAGATCTGATCTGTTGGTTGTGGGATTGCTTAGCTCTGTCTATCACTTGCTGCTTTCGCTGTTTGGCATGTAAGTTGTCCTGTTTGGTAGCTTCACCAGGTAGGCTCCCAGCATGCCCTCCTGCACTGTCCATTGAACTAGGGTTGATCCCCTGGCCTGATGGCAATGGTTGAGTGGGGGATATGCCGGGCCACAAGATTACAGATTGTGCAGAGTACAATTCTGCTGCTGTTGATGGCCCACAGTCCGTTATGGATGCACCGTCTTGAGTTGCTAGATCTGTTCAAAGTCTGTCCTATTTAAGGGAGGCAATGGCCTAGTGGTATTATTGTTGGACTATTCATACAGATAC